CAGCCCACAGGGGATTATTGTGTCCGTCGTGCAGGGAGGGGCTGGGTGGGGAGGGGCTGGTCACCCCGTGGTGCCCTTATAAAACTCAACGTTTAACCTACTCACGCCGGCTTGTGCCCGCCCTCACAGTCGGGCATATTTGCGGAATACACCACGCCGCCGTTGACCCTGCAGGCCATTGACCGAGCAACCCAACGTTCCTACCAGCTCCCTCCGCAGGAATGTGTTACGTGCCCAGCCCTGATGTCAATACACTGCATGGTATGCAGGCTGTGGGAATTGGTGAATGCGGGGAGCATAGCTGTGTGATACAACAAGCATTGATTCAAGCTAGCCTAACCCTGCTGATGAAACCACGATGATTTTGAAATCGGTTCTAGCCAATAAACATCGTGACAATTCACCAGCATTGATTCGGCAACCCGCATTTCTCATTGGCGCTTTTAATTCTCGAATCCACGTGTTCCTTTGAAACATCGGCCCCGTCTGTCCAATGTAACACTTACCACATATTGGACAGACGGGACGTAACATTAGCGTAAGACTAAAAGAACACCAAAGGAACATTAAATTATCTCAAACACAGCTGTCAGCAGTGGCAGTGCATGCTTGCCAACAAGGACATTCAATTAATTTTGATCACGTTGAAGTGTTATGCAGAACTAATTATTACCGGCCAAGATTAGTTAGAGAATCAATTGAAATTGAGAATTCAAATAATTTCAATCGCTGTGATCGCTTTCGACTCGACGCAGCCTGGAAGCGTATTATTAAGTAAAACACAACACACATTGCAATTCCTTACAGGTGAGTCACATGCTAAGTGGCTGATTACTGATCGATTACATAATTGCATTCACCCCCACCTCTGATCTCGAATCCTGATGGGTTTCATCAACGATGACGTCATCCTGCACTATTTAAGACCAGAAGCACGTGGGTGGCTTCACTCGTCTGGCTAATCGCCCGAAAAGTGCTGGATGTAACAGCCAGCAAAACGTCGTACTACTCAAATTGTAAATGCTGTGGATCCACTCGTCAACACACAGGTGGGCTAAAAGTAGTGAACTATTTGTCTTTTGTCAACGTGATAAATTTTTTTTTACCGCTTGGTCGTGTCGGGTAGTGGAGGATTGCGATACATAAATAACGCGATCTAACCCAAAAGTGCCCTTTCAAAACACACAAAATTGGGCACTATCTCTCTCGCACCTCCCCCCCCCCCCCCGCCTCGACTTCTTTCAAGACGGAGAAAGTCGCGGTAGTGGGCGAACGCGTTGGACAGCAACACAACGGACGCGCGTGAACGGCGTTTTCCACGAGGCACCAATCGAGCCTCCTCAAGCGGTGATGCCAACGCTTCATATCGGTCGGGCCAGTCCAGAGCAGTGTTCCGAAGGTGCGTTGGCACACCACATCCCACCCCCTTGGGTTTGTTTGCTCAAGTCAGTGCCGGATTATCCGAGTGGAAATAGTAGCTGCATATGTAGTAGCTACTGCTATATATGTAGTAGCTACGGGCCCCGTGCACTTTCAAGGGGCCCCGCGCTAAATACTTTCAAGCGATCAATTTCTGTTCAGTGATATTCTGCACTTGCTCTATTACTATAGTACTATACCACCTTCAACTCATAAGAACTGGGTGTTTAAGGTTGGCGATTTGTCGTATTATCTGGCTGTATGGAAAATGAAAAAATACAATTATTTTACTATGCAAGTTAAAATTGTGTCTTAATGTGTTTTTTTTCGGGCCCCTTTATAACGTCACATGCTACCGGCCCCGCACTAGCTTCATCCGGCACTGGTTCTCGTCTTACCCCAGAGGCCAGTGGTTCTTAGCCTTCACTGCAAGCTTGCACCCCCCCCCCCCCCTTTAGGTTCTCAATCGTAACAAAACATGTACAATGTTAATAAACACACAGGGGTTTGCTGAAACAAAGTAGTTGTAACTACTCGACATCGCCTTTACCAGTGGCAAAATATAGTAATAGGTTTTTACCCTTTCAACTGGTACAAAAACTGACACCTTTTATACTGGTCCAACACCAATGGAGACCAGGCTCTAAGAAAAGCTGTCTCGGGTGTGGCCCAATCAACTTCAAGGACAGTGCATATCAAACATGATGCCTTGTATAGTTGAAAGGGTAAACCCCTATTACTAAAGTAGGTGCTTAGTTTGTGTTTTCGATTATTTACCTAATAAAGAATTGGGGCCACATCTCGCACCCCCAGGGGGGTGCGTTCACTCCAGGTTAAGAACCACTGCTGTAGACCCTCTGTTCGAACTATAGGACTCTATGGTGCTGTATTAGATGATCGATATGTAGAGCCCGTACCCTGGGTGGTGGTGCCTCTTATGCCGATTATCCCGACTTCAAACGAGCGTATAGCAGCGTTCCGCAAACGCATCGAGTGAGAAATTAAGGTCCGTGGTGTTCATTTAACGTCACACACTGCCGTTACCTGTACAACAATGTCGGCGTGCCTGCGAAAAGACCACCACTTGCATCAACAACAGCAAAACATATTTGTGTCGGCTTGAACACTTGCACAATGTGGACAGGGTTGAGACACCTTTGCTTGGTTTGTGTTGCTGGTTTGACTTCAAAAATACACATTAACAGCCTCTATTGCAAGTCCACTGAACCTGTGTTCGGTAAAAAAAATATCTACACAAATTTTTGCCGGATTTAAATCAAACATGCAACCACGGTCCATTTGAACGTGGAAATAGTTGTTATCATATTGCTATCGTGTACTAATTTAATGTGTAAGCTTTGCCTGAATGTATAAATGCAGATGCAACTGATTTTTTCCCCATATGCACCGACGAGTTGAATAGTAATGACACAACTGTACATTATGAGCGGTACATTTTTGCAGAGACACATGCATAGCATGCAACCGATGTCCAAAAACCTCAGCGTTCCATAAACAGCAAAAATATTTGGCAAAGACGCACAGATACTATTTTATAGACTTCTTTGTTTTTACAGAGTACTCTGTGTACTTGGGATTAAACAATTCACGCATTCAAATGTGGCCCATCGACGACACATGTGCCATGGAATCAAAAAACTTGCAGGACGTATGGAAATATATTTCCACGGCTAATTTAATTAGCCTGGCCCCTCCCTCTCCGAAGTGTTCTCAGGTTGTACGGCGTGACGTTCGGCACCGTTATACGATGTTCCTCTGCGCGTGCCGGGAGACCTCCTCCAGGAACTGATACGAGCGCTCGAGAGATAAAGTTGAGCGGCTTCGGTTCGTGAAGAAGCTCCCCAGCATGTAGGGCGACACACAACGGGGCAACATCGGAAAGCTGTGCAGCGCGACCGTGATGGGGAAAAAAAGCCGCAGTAAAATTTAAGTTGAGTCAGAACGTACAAATGATTTTAATTTGATCTAATTGAGAAAAGCAGAGCGCACCCGAGATGTGAACACAGGCAGTCATTTCATTGACACCTGCCTGCAAATGAAGCTCGCTTTATGTTTTTCCTCTCTGAACTATTTTGTTCTTGGTTGGGGGGGGGGGAGAAACAACAACAGCAGCCTCCAAGGAGGCTCGGAATGCCGAGTTACGGAGTCGTAAAAGCCGTGGAATGTTAAAAGAGATGCGACGCTGCAAAAAAATGGAAATTAGTCATTTTTACGAATACAAAATGCTTCGCTTGCTCAGGGCGATTTTTTAAATGTTTACTGACATCTGGTGATGCATTAGAAAACGGATAAAGGGCGCAGCCCTGCAATCGCTCGATCAACACCTGCTATTGGAACGATGACAAATGCGGAGGCATTTTTTTTTGCTTAAAACTCGCAGACATAAACCACGCCCCCCCCCCCCCCACTGCGAGAAAAAAATTTGCCAAACATCCCAAGCGATGCTTGAGCATCTCGGTGATGCATTACTAGATACTAAACAAAAAAACAGTAATTGGTGTGCCGTGTAGGAACCAAGAAACAATCTTTTGTTGACTTCACTTCAAAGGACACTGGCACGCGACTGTCAAATGTGTCGGCCAAGGTTACACTTCACACCGTGACATTACGTCTACGCGTTTGAACATTCCAAATTGTTTGCAGCGGTTTATGGAGGGGGGGGGAGGGAGTTGCTACGTCGCACGGTTAATGTGTGGAAAAAAAATATTCAGGTCGCCAGTTTGACACAGTAGTAGTAGGCTTTAGCTACCAATATTATCCACGAGGTTTTTTGGGTTGGATCGCGTAAAATATAAATGTGTCGCTAAACTCTGCCACCACTCGACACCGCTAATTCAGCACATCCGGTGTGTTGGAAGAGTCACGAATTGGCACGCTGTGTTTGTGACAAACCTTTACAAATTGGCCGTGTCGGATGGTGGCGGGTTTAACGACACATTTCTATTCACGCGATGTAACCCAAAAACCTCTTATGGATATTCAGGTGGTATTGTCATGAGTGTCATCATGACAACAAAAACACAAAATACCACTACGTGGACATGCATAATTCGCCGGTTTGGTTTTAGTTTTATCCACCAGCAACACAGAGATGAATCGCAAACCAGTTTTCTTCCCCGTTGTAAAACATCACAGCAGTATAATACAGGGTTTTGTGGGGGGTAAGATCACGTAAATGTGTCGTTAAACCCGCCACCACCCGACACAGCCAATGAGTAAGGTTTGTCCCGTAAACAGAACGTGCCAATTCGTTACTAGTACAGCACATCGGTGTGTTGGAGCAAAGCCACAACATTTACAATCGGAGTACGACGTGTCGCCAGCAATTGAATGTGTCGAGTAGTGGTGGGTTTAACGACACATATTTACGCCATCTAACCCAAAATAAAATAAACCTGTATCATGCATGATATTTAGTCGCGAAAGCCTCCCCCGGGGGGTGTTAAATCGCAGCAAAAGTTACAATAACGCAGCTCCGACATTGGTTCGAACCTCGTGAGGGTTCTGTGGGGGACAGCGCTGCCTAACCCCTGCCGCCGTACAACGGCTGACCCCCCCCCCCCCCCCCCCACGACACTGCTGCTTTCGATTAACAAATGAACCACACGCGCGCGGAGTGATCCATGAATGACCATTCGCTCGCAAATACCCACGATGATGTATTTTGATAAAACGCCAGCCCCAATGTTCGCTTCGTACCGCAACGATGGAACAAACCGACTGTGTCCCGCTAAGCGTTGCCCCTTTTCTACTCTCACTCCTCCCGTTTCACTGTCCAGCGCAAAACAAGCGTCGTGAAGTCGTTCAGTGCATGCACTATTTGTATTCTGCATAAAACAACGGGAGGGGGGGGGGCGGAGGGGGGTGTTATTATGCATTGCCTATAAATGCTACAGTTTAGCTTAATGTTTTTTAAATATAAGACATTTACATTTTGCACTTTATGCAGCAAAAGAGCACAGTGTTTATTTCCCCAAACCTCACCCCCATGCCCCCCCCCACTCAACATCTCGCTTCATTTTACATCAAAAACGGTCCGAGTAAAAACCAACGCTTGGGTTAAAGTACAAGTAGAACAGCAGAATTAATTACACTCACTATTATCGACGGACCGGCCTCCTTCACAAGCGATAGCGTTTCTCTACCTGGTTGACAAAGAGATATTTAACTGAACTCCCAAAGTAACACGGCTACTTCGGTCTCCTTTGCAAGAGATCATGCGTCTCACCTGGTTAACGCAGAGATAATTAATTGAATGACCACTTTCCTACATCGGTGACCCTTGCAAGGGTGATGCCTTGCAAAAGGTATCTATGCGGCGTTTGAATATCTTAATACCTGTTTTATATTGCCGGAAAGGGTACAACCTATTTTTTATTGTTTCGAATAGATAATGATTGATCAAACAACTTTGTCTACGTGAAGACAAAATTGCGACAAGCGAAACAAACGCGTTTTGCGTTTGCTGGGGCGGTCAGTTTTGCTGCCTGCGAATTGAAAACGCCTCAAGAGATTCACCGTTTTGCATTTGCCACCTTGGTGTTGTAACACCAACAACAAAGACATTCTTGGGCCAATGGGCTTTGTAAGGATCAGTAAAAACCCTCGCAATGGCCTGAAACCAGGCCTCAATCTCGTTTCAAAAAGCCATGTTTGCTCTTATTGCTAGAGCTCCTCAGCAATGGGCACGCTGGGAGAGCAAGTGGGTATCCAAAAAGGATTTGGAAGAGAGACGTTGCCCCCCAAAACAAGCTGAAAATCACTTCACTGCCGTTATGAAAAGACAGTGCCTTAGGCTGCAAATGTTTTCGGGCAATTTGGCCCTTCACAGCAGAAAGAGGGAATTTGAAATTGCGCCCAAAGATGGATGCAACATTCTGCGAAAAAAAATTGTTGCCACAAAGGCCTCGGGAATTTGGGGGGATAAAGATCCGTGTGCATATATGGACAGCCAGTGCATAGCTGGTGATGGAAATGACAGCATACGAATTTTTTTTTCCATTAGCAATAAAACCGTTAACACACATTTGAAAACTGACATTTTTGGACGGCTTTCCATTTTCAGCAGGACATTTAGATCTTGCATTTAAAACGAGCCAACAATTTGTTTTTGTTTTTCAATATCCGGTTACTTCTACAACGTCCAATGCAAATGTGCCGTTGTTTGTCACGATGTCCGACGTTTTGCTGCCACGTGCTGGGAGCTACGAACAAGATTTCACGAACCGAAGCTCCCAGAACTCTTGAGCCAAACGTCCGACCATCGTGTGCGTATGCATGCTGCACTTATTTCCGACCGTGCATAGCCAACCGTTCTAAATCGGAGGTTGCGGGGGAAGGACGACAAACACACGAAAAGGAGTTGGTGGGTTTGTAACAAACCCACGATAAGACTCCAAAAATCACATCGCAGAGCTATGCATGTGTGTATCGTCACAAGGCCGAGATACTTTTTCCCCCCCATAGACATCATCACATTCGCCACTGCACGCAGAAGCCACTGGAGTTTCATAACGACGCAAAGTATTGGTAAGCCATTGTACTTCACACGACCCATTTTAAGAAGGCGTTGAATCCTACCCAATAAGGCCTTCAGTGGTAACGGCGTCCTCCCCTTGGCACCACTTTACATCCCCAATCGTGCCAATCGCATCAGTACAAGGCACAAAGCAAAGTAGCCACAAGATCACCTACATGTTCCGGTAGAGCCCTGCTGACTTTGAAACGATAATAATATTCAGTTTTATATCGCGTCATCTTACGCTAACTGCATCTCAAATGCCGAGGAGCCACGCACTAAAGCTGGAAGGCAGCAGCCAGGCGATGAGCCGACACCAACAATTGCCCAAGCTCTGCAGTCCTCTATATATTAAGATGTTTTCATCCAATTAACCAGTGTTTAAACATGTGGGACAAAACCGGAGCGCCCGGAGAAAACCCACGCATGCGAGGGGGCAACACTATCCCCCGTACAGATTGGGACAGATGATTTTTAGTCCGCACTTTCCTACCGAACCAGGCAACGGTACCCCGACGCCTTTGGAGTTTCGCAACATTTGTGCGATATACACCAACCCTCTCGCAATGGAGAATATCTCACGAAGGGACATCACAGTATTATCCCGAAGACGTATCTCTTCAATGTGTCGCACTCAACACACCCAACAGCGTTCCTTCACACCGTGCAAGATGTGTGCGATAAGCGTACATTTTACGGGTGAAAGCATAACACGTAGGCTTTCGCGACCAATATTATTCTTCGTACTCAAATTGTAAATGTTGTGGTTTCACGCTTCAACACACCGGTGGGCTAAAGCAGTGAACTATTTGTCCTTTGTCAATGTGACACTTTTTTTACTGATTGGCCGTGTCGGGTGGTGGAGGGTTACGACATTTATAAATAACGATCTAAACCCAAAAACGTTGATTATGAATGGGTGAAAGCATATTAAAGCGGAACTCCTGTGCCTCCACACGTGAATACAAATGTGTCGCCTCCATCAGCCCACCGGCTGTCGAGACCAGTAACATCCAGACGCATTTTTTTTTAAGTATGCAAAGTCTGCACCGGTATTGACATTCTGAGTCTCACCAGCAGTTGGGCTTGTTAAACAAATGATGCCGGGTTTCCAGCTTTTATTGGCAAGAGCACTCCATCTGAACTATAAAATGCGATCGTTCATTTGGTTTGGATCAATCAAATCAAGAACGACATTACATTTATTCAATGCGGTGTTTTTGTGCGTGCACGATCAGACTGAAACAATATAGGCTACACTTGAAAATCAATATTAATCTGTGTAGTGGGCCCAGATCTGAGCTCTGGTTCTTCTATCGCCAAACTTAATTTTAAATCGGTAACATCACAAGAAATCGGCGCAAATCTGGATGATAAATTGCTGGATGCAATTAAAATTTAATTATGCTTGCAGTCAATCCAAATTCATTATCTGGAAAGGCCTGAAGCCACGGATAGACTCACAATGTTCTTAAAATGTAGTTTCAGGTTAATTAAAAAAAACTTGAGCTCATGAGATTACAGCACACGACTCGTGCAAATCATTCCACAGGATCGTTAATTATAGTACACTTTACAGCAGACAGGACCATGGTGATACTGACTCAGAAATTCAATTTCGACTGAGAAATGACTCGATAGTGGCAGGAACTGAACCATCAATCTCGCAAAAGCCAACGCATTCGGCAATGCACGATGACCGCCAAGTTACCCAGCTGTCCAATTCTTCCAACGTCTCTTTGGTCTCAATTGCAAATGAAGTAACGTTGGCGTTTTTTGCACCAAATTGTAAGAGGGTGGGGTGTGCCCGTCGACGCATCGATTCGGCTCGTGAACACATGCATACATCACGTGTGCAAGAATCGATGTACTTTTTTTTCAATGCGTTCGCAATGGGTTTACTTTACAGCACCCCTGCAGCCAATCGGGGGTACTGCCATTTAATTGCAATGGGAATAAAAGTTAGATTCGTGACGAGAAAGGTTTCCGTCATTCCACCGTGTAAATATCCAGAGCTTAACTTAAGAGGCGAAATCTGCGTTTAACCCCAACTCTCCGATCGTCTCCTGTATGGTTAAGAGCATGCAATAACCCTTCCGTAGAAAACACTCAGTCACATGCACCATCTAACAATACACCGCCATCGCTAGCGCGCACACAAAGTAGGAGCCAAGCCTCCTGTCAAATCGGAACGTGTTTTCGTATCGATTACGTGAAACCGCCGAGTGTGAAGAGGCACTCGTGAAGTTTTCGTTGCTTTTGTTTGTTTTTGTCGAAATTCTTCTGGTTGAAAGTCGCCCCAATGCAGCATTAATTTTCACGGCTGCTCGATAAATCACTTGCGCGGCAGCAGTCGACGCGACGGAGAGTTCCAACTTCTCGGATGCCAATATTTTGTTTTATTGCATGAACAAAAAAGGCCCCCCCTTCCCCAGCCAAGGGGGGCGACGATGTCCATTTTCTTGCGCGGCACAAATCCTCCCCAAGTTACTTTGGTTGAGACGCTTCCATCCGTGTGTCTGATTTAACCCCGTGTCTGTTGTAGAGCTCGTGTTTTTTTAAATATATATTTGGAAAAGATGACAGAGTTGAGTCGACATGGTTTAAATCGACTTCACGCCACCTATACGCATACAAATAAAAAAAAACAATCCTAAATAATATAAAAATATATATACACCGTATACGTCGCGTGACGAACAACGGATGAAAGGTGAAGTCATCTTTGCAGCACTTTGGTTGCAAAATCTTTTTTCCGGCGGCGACAACGGAATTGTGATCACGTGGGTGCAGGGTGGGGTGTCTTCAGTGATGATTTGCATGTTGCGACGATGTCCCGAGTTGCACGCCGTTCTTCATCGCGCCTCATTTTTCCCGAATCTCCGGCTATCGACGACGCGACACGTTTCCTCGTTTCTTTACGGGGAAAAAAATAAAACTCCGAACGTTTTCAGCATCTTTTGGCAGCGCGGGGAGGGGGAGCAAAGTCACTCGAATGCAGTCCGACACTTTGTACAACACCGTGAAGCCGACGCAAGCAAGGTGGGTCTCGGCAGGGCACGTTGTGATTCAACGACGGATGGCCGACGGTCCGGGATGACAGCGGAGTGGCAGACGAGGAAATGGAAGCATCCAAGCAGACGTCCAACGAGGAGATGGAGCGGAGAAATTGGTTCACGTCTGCAGTGCAGGCGACGAGGTGGATAATTCCACTGCAGAGAGATGGTGGCAGCTTGGGGAAGGGCCTTCATCTAGCAGTGGATCGACCCACGGCTAAAAATGATAACGATGATGATTTATATTGATGACAAATGCTCCGCAAAACCCAATGAGCAAACCTACTTTGGGATTTCATAGATTTTTCGACGGCTGGACAAATGAGGCTTCTAAACATTATATCGGAGAGCATGTTTAAATAGTTGTTGCCTTTGACAAATTTAATTTGTGACTTATGAACAAACACTCCTCATAGAGATCAAGACAAGGGAAACGTTTCGGTGGTACCGTGTGAAGTTTGTGATCATGACGGTAATGATTCGACTCTCCAGGTTATGGCTTAATTGCACCACCAAAGTCAATTATCATCAATTTTCCTGTAGGGTCGGTAAAAATAAATACCGAGCCTCCAAGATTCTGAGCAGCGGCGTGGCAAGGACAAACTGGGTTCCGCCAAAACAACGTGGAACTGAGCTCATGACCAACAACGAACAAGGTAACTGCTCAGCGCACGCAAATTAAGCGCAAGCTGGGGAAATGCTCGTTTCAGACTACGGCCGGGAGAGCGCGAGCTTTGTAATCCAGCGTCAACGTGAGCTGCAACCTGGCGGGGTGACACCCTCATTGCAGAAGCATTCGCAAGGGCGTCCTCAGACGTCAAAACTAATCGACCGAGTGCCAGCAGCAGCCTCCGTGCCACGGAGCTCACGGAGCGGCGCCTTTGGCCCAGTGGCCGGGGTAAGAGAGGAGCGCGGGGGGTGGGGTGGCGGCAGGAGGGGCGGCACATCGGGCGACGCCGCGGGACGCGAAGGAAGAAGGCGTCTTCAGAAGTTGAGCTTCGCGAGCGGCCTCTCGCGCCCGGCGTCGGCGAGCTGGGTGCCCGGGCGGCGGCGGTTGCGCTTCATCTTGACGAGGTCGGCTCTGTCGAAGACCTCGCCGGAGCGCAGGGCCGACACGAGGTCGTCGAACTCCCCGCCGCCCTCGTCGCAAGAGCCCGCCTTGGTCTTGCGCGCCTTCCGCTCGCGCTCGCGCTGCTCCTTGAGCTGCCGCGAAGGCAAGCACAAAAAGACAAAGACACACACCCCCCGGTATAGCCTTGACAGAATGTTGGGGCAAGTGCTGTCAGGGTGCACACACACGCACAAGCAAGCAGGCACACCGCGCGGAAGTCCGTGAGACATAACTACTGTCTCCTATCACCGATTCACAATATTACCTGCTCTCATTTCAATGCACATCGGCCACTTTAAATTCAGCGAGGCTGTCACTGCAGAACAAGAACAATTCCTCTTGATCCCCGAGTCATTTATTAAAAACGGCAAACATAGCCCTCGTCACACTGTCTGGCCTATGTGATGGATATTAGAGTGAGGCCGCTTGCCATGGAACAATTCATCCGTGTGCATGTGTGTTGTCCACCCTAGGTGCTCGCTAACTGCACTTGCCCCAACTGTGTTAAAAGGCTATATGGGGGGTCTTTGTCTTTGTTTGCCACCAACCCCCCCTCGTGCGCTGTGCTGGCCTTCATTAGGTGCTCGCTAACAGCACTTGCCCCAACAAAGACTACACCGGGGATCTTTGGTTTTATGCATGTGTGTACTCTAGGCCAGTGGTTTTTAACCTTTAGTGCAGCCTTGGTTCTCAATTTTGTAAACAAAGTAGTTGTGCTAAATTCGTGTTTTCGATTATTTACCTTCAAAAGAAAAATCTGGCCATGTCTTGCACCCCCAGAAAGGGAATCTTGCACCCCTTAGGGCGTGCGTGCACCTCACTGCTCAAGGCTTTGTTAATGTGGAGGGAAATACTGGATCACGCGGCGAAAACTCCACGCTACCACGGGAAGAGAGGCGTGCAAATTCCGATTATACGACAGGCGTCTGGGTCGGGATCGAACCCACGATCTCCTTCATACCAGGTGAGTTCGCTAGCATCTCACCACTAACACTACCTGATGTGGACACAAACGATGTTGAACATTGCCCGGGGTGGACACTACCCATAGATTATAAGAGATGTTTTTGCTGCTATACATTCCCACATGATAAGCCCACTTTGTTAAGCTATAATTTGCGGCCAGGTCATTTTTGATAAGTTAACATCTCACTGGGCTTTACCTGGTAAGATTGTAAAAATGGTTTCGTTTTACTTGTATATCTTTAACGTTATTTGTTTACCTGTCTTATACTTGGTGCTCCGGTCGTGTTTTTGGTTTGTTTGTTGTAACATTCTGACCCGCCCCGACTGGACATTTGTGAAAAATAGCTTATCGGATTCCTCCTCCAGTACAAATGCTGACTGATTCTGCACATGGTGGACACTGCCTATAGTGGACACACATTAACCCCATAGGTTAGCAGTAGAACTGCTGCATGCACAGTGGTTATAGATGACCAACTAAGACAAATATCCCCTGTATAGCCTTAACAGACTGTAGGGGCAAGTGCTGTTAGCGAGCACCTATGAAGGCCGGCACGGCGCTTGAGGGGGTCGGTGGCCAGCACCATGCCTGGCCACCTTTGTCTCCCTAGTGGCGATGTTTTTACACACCGCACCAGGTACTCATTTGAGGCTGAGTCGACCTAGGGGAGGCCCAAGACCGGTTTCAGATAATCGCCACTGGTGTTGGTGGCCGTTAGCGGGAATAGAACTCCGGCTCGCCGGGTCCGTAGCGCAGCGCGCTACCCGCTACACTACCGCTCCCCACAGAGAGGTGACCCACACACAAAATTGTGGTCTCAATTTGCGGAAAATCCAAGCAACCGTTTCTCTTCGCCTCCTCGCCGGCGCTGCGCGGCCGTACCTGGGCGTCGGCACGCGCACGCTTCTCCTCCTCCTCCTTGCGCCGCCGCGAGCGCTCGTTCTCGAGGCGGGCCTCGCCAAACGCCTGCAGGAAGAGGTCGAAGATGCCAAAGAACTCGTCGGGCTGCGTGCGGCCGCTCTCCTCGCCAAATCGTCGCACCGCTCGGTCGAACTGGCAAGGGCACACACACACACGCGTGCACGCAAAGCACAAACGAAGATCACCTGTCAAGCCTCCGGACCTCACTAACATCGCTCCTCCGCAGCAATGCCGCACGTGTGAGGGAGTACCACAAGGCCATCAGAAAAACAAACTTCCCAGTAAACAAGGACATCTTCATGCCACCGCACAGGCTCAAATACAAAAAAACTTTGTCAATATGCAAAGAACCCCCATGACAACGACAAGACCGCCAAAGCACGGTGGAGAGAAGCCTGGGCAAACGCCAGCGTGCTGCAGAAACCCATTGTCGGCGACCACACGAGCCTCCAACCCGGATCTGACCTACCAAGGAAGATCTGGTCCTCCTTGAATCGGATCTGGACACTCCACTTACTCCATGAATGACCGTGGTGGTGGTGCGACATCTCAGGAAACGACTGCCCAAACGGATCATTCAACGGATATCAAATCTCGACATCAATTTTTGATGTTTTGCAATCACCAAAAATGCCGTACGAAAGAAGAGAGGACCTGCCTTGCCTACACACAGGCTTGCTGGGGCAAGTGCTGTTCACTAAATTTAAAACGAATTTCTTTAGAACTGCTTTTTTATTTGTTTAGTTTGTCCTTCCTCCGCACCTCCAATTAGCACGGTTGGCTACATACGGTGCAAACGAAGTTCAATATAACACAACATACATACACAATGTTGGCTATCAACAACAAGGCAACTCCTATGACTAATTGGGCATGGGACGCAAGTGTAGGATTGATCACCCTGTCGCTGGCTGCCTTTTGGGGAGGGTGCATAGTGTGAAAGGCCGAAACACCCTAGGAACCAAAGGTTCACTACTGACGATGCGCTCCCCAAATTTCACCAGGCTCACTGTTCATGAACTCTTGGAAGTGCTTGCACAAAGGATAGTAACATCTCATCCTGTGTTCTTGGAATCTAACATGTATACACAAGACATACACAATACATAACCGAGAACTGATTAAGGCCAGCAAAGTCTCACGTATGAGGGGGTGGTGTGGACAGCACCACTCCCCCGGTAGCCTTTGTCTCCCCAGTCCCGATGTTTTACACACCGCACCAGGTACTCACTTAAGGCTGAGTAGACCTACGAGATGCCCAGGTCCGGTTCAGATAATTGTCACTGATGTTGGCCGTGTGCGGGAATCGAACCCGGGTCACCAGGTTCGTAACGCAGCATGCTAACCACTGCACTACCGCTCCCCAAAACAATACACACACGTGCACGAACAACAGTGTTTTGAACATGCACAGGAGCCTTCATCACCCATTCGTGCACAGACACCTTGAGACTCAATCAGCAGTGACACTTGCCACTCGTCGCTAGGAGGTGAGGAGTTTGAGCCCAGCTGATTATTATAGTGCAGTGTGTACTTGCCATGAAGACACGCCGCTGGCTTCACAGCGGACGCTAAAGGTCCCGTAAAGTCATTCGCAAAAATAGTAAGCCACGTGTGCTGGCATCGCGTCCAAATCTGAAAATTCCTTAAATTACCCACTTGTATAGAAAGCACGTAGCAACATCGCCCCCTACTGAGAAACTAACGCTGACTATGCGCCAACTGCGCAACGTAGCACCGTGGCGATAGTTTTTACACGCTCAAAAAAAACCAACGCGCCAATTATTTGATTTTTACCCAAGAGCTGCAAGTATGTATGTTGAACTTTTTTCGCATTGTACGTAGCCAAGAGGCATGCAACAAAACAATGCGGCTATCTCCTGACTGTGCGTTTCATCCTCGCCGTTCGAAAAGAAAAAACTCCACGTGGAACACACCAAACATTCGAAGTCGATCTTCGTGAACAATAAACCTTGAAGACTCGGCGAGTCCTTCCAAAGGTTGAAAAGACATCCTGATCTGTAAAGTTTACCCGTTCCTTGGCTTCACAGAGGATGTCGTCCACCTCTGAGAAACTGAAGCTTGCCACCGTGATGAAGTCGCTCATCACCGACACAAACTTGTCGTCTGGCCTCCCGGGCTGTGCCCGCTGGAAATCCAACTCCTGGGACAGGATGAAGACAGACACAGACACAAATGAGCAGGCGATATTCACACACACGTGCCTGTTTAAGAGGATGTGTGATTCAAGCAAGACCGACAATTCGTTTGTGCATGAATGATTTGGTGTGCGAGCGTATGTGCGTGTGTGTCAGGCAACCCATGGCATTTGGGTATGTCCCGGGACCTCCTGCCAAGCGAGCCTTCGACACTTCACGCGGCCTCAAAGTGCGCCTAAGTCTGGCAAAATGCCGTAGTGACATTACCGCCACTTAGTGACGAATGGCGGTTGTTGTTGTGTGTTGTGGGCAGCGGTCGTGTAGTGGTTTGCGCGCTGCACTATGAACCTGGCAACCCGAATTCAATTCCCGCTCGTGGTCAACAGCAGTCCTGGGCCTCTCCTAGGTCAACTCGGCCTGAATGATCATGGTCAATCGGTACATATGCTTAAGACGGACTACATGCACAGCCATATGTGAAATAGCGAATGTGTGCCTTTACACCTCCTCCCCAAATCGCATGTGTTTTGGTAGGCCACGGAATAAAATGAGCTTCCACAGAACTGTTTCTGAAATATTAGCTATGACCTTTTATCCACACTAGGGTGCAGCACACTTCCACCCACCACATCAGACAGTAATGTTCGTCTAATAATACATTTATTTAATTTACAATAAGTGAATTTAGTCAAATTAAGGGCAAAAGGAATATTTGTCTTACGAGGTTATTTTTGCCAATAAAATGGTGAGTGGGCTGAGACCCGAAATAGAACTCATGATCCTAGAGGTTTGTTGGCTCAGACCTCTGAGCACCCAGCGAAATCTGAAATTTGTTTGAGTTCACAAAAGTCGTGTGTGTATGTGTGAAAGACAAAATACCTTCTCCACATCCTTGAGGCCCCCTCGAACCAAGTTGATTTCCTTCTCCAGCTCCAGCATGCTGTCACGACAAGATCATCATCACCATTTACTCTTTAGATGCACCGGCAATTGGCTGCAATTTTATTTGAAAATTCGACCGAATTCTGCTGTGCATGACCACGGCAGCGCGGTCGGGTGGTGGCTATGCACGTGGCCCGTAATCCAGCACCGTGAAGGCAATGAGGGTTGGTGGGTCACAAATGTTGGCGAAACTCCTTTCCCGTGGGCGTCAAAGGTGCCATGCCCTGGCTTGCCAGGAGAAGACTGTTCATTCAGCAAAATGCGGACTAACATGATCTGTCCCTTCTGTATGGGATGGAGTGTTGACCCCCTCTCACAAGTGGGTTTTCCCCGGGCGCTCTCCTCCCGCATTGGAACAAACGCTCGTTAATTTCGCTGAAAACATCTTCGAAATGCAGAGGCCTGCACTGAGCTTGGGAAATTTCTGGCACCCGGTTTGCCACCTGGCTGCCTTTCCAGCTTGGTCTGCGGTTACTCAGCGGTTGTAAGATGCGAATTGCGCGAGCGACGACGACAAGCCATGTTAAAACAAGGTGGGTTGGGTCACGTGTCGCTCACTTGACCCTGGCGGCCTCGGGCACGTGCTGCAGGTCGTCCTGGATGTTCACGACGTCGGGGTACTTCTTCTCCAGGATCGTGATGAGGTAGTGGAGCAACGTGATATTCCTGCGAGCGCATTCATTCACAGTTTAACATGTAGGCTTTCGCGACCAATATTATACGTTTTGATTTAAAGCTTTCGTGACTGCAGGGATTCATCTTCTTGGTTCTTTCGGTAAAGTCACGTGACTTTACCGAGTCACGTGACTTTACCGAAAGAACCAAGAAGATGAATATTATACATGATGAAGCTTTTGGAGTGCTACTTCTGCTGTGCATGGGTCCAGGGTGCCACACTTATCAACTGGGTGCTACTGCTGCTGTGTCTGGGCGCAGGGTGACAGTCACATAGCCTGGCACAAGCGCCATGGTGATGTTGTCACCGCCACTTAGTGGCGAACGGCGGCGGTTGTTGTTGGGCCCAGAGGACGAGACACTCACTTGTCAATGCTGGACTTGGTGTCGGCGATCTTGTTGAGGCTTGAGATCTTGAAGCCGTAGGCATTGCCGCGCTGCCCCTTGTTCATGTAGTTCCCGAACGCCAGCACCACCTCCAGCAGCTGCCTCAACCTGCGGCTCTGGTGCAGCTCCTTGGAGGCCAAGAGAATGGCTGAGCACGAGGGGGGGGGGGAAGGTGAGGGGGCAGAGCGGGAGAGAGACGAAACGATTACCGCAGGATAATTGTTTTTTTTACCCTTCTATCTGGCAACAAAACTGACACCTTTTTTACAAGGGGTCATGTTTGCATAGACCACAATACCTGCAGTCGTAACGCAAACTGCCGGTCCTGGTTTACAGCCAATGGGGGGAAGCCTAGGGGCGTGGCCCTGACGTAATGGAAAGGTGACAGCTGTAAGGATTGGTTCTGCTGGCTTGGGCCACAGCCAATGGGGAGATGAGTCAGGGCGTGGTCCCGGGAGCTTACGAGGGAGTCTGTAATATTCCATGGAGGCTAACGAGGATTGGCAGAAACGTACCACGTGACCCGGGTATTAAATAGGGGTGGAGACGAACGACACGGGGTCAGAACTGGGAACGAACAGAGGAAGGGTGGCCACGCGGGAGCGGGGCTCCGGGTTGCCACGTGGCAGTGCGTCTCTCATCTATCTGTCCCTCTCACGCTGCCTGTCAGCAGCGTGAAGGAAAGCTGTAATACAAGTTGAATAAAAGACGGATTCCAGAAGTCGCCTCAACGAGCTTTATTACAAAACGACACGGCGAGGCTCACCCTCCACCTTGGGCTTGCATTCGGCCACGCGCTCAGGCAAACTTCTTCTTGAAGTAGAGCGCCTGCAGCCGCTGCTGGTAGTGTGGAATCCTGCAAAGGGAGACGCAGAGTCATTCGAGGCTCGCTTCGTGGACCGAGCTTGAGAATGTTAGCGGGATAAATACCACGCTGATCCATCGAGGATATTGCGAGGGAAGCCCGGGGGACATTCGTACAAAGGAAGGACCGATTACCCGCAATTTAGGCGTTATTTCGTTTTGGTTCCCTCCGAGGTAGCAGATGTTTTGCCATCGATGGGGGGGGGAGGTGGGGGCGTGCGGCGGTGACAATGCTGCACGGCTGTGATCCCAGCAAATTTTGGAGGGGAAGTTGGTGGATTCTTTTAGGATGAAACCAAGATGCGCATGTGTGTGTGTGTGGGGGTGGGGAGTGGTGGTGTAGCGGTTAGCGCTTCGCTGCATGACGAACCCAGCGACCCGAGTTTGATTCCTGCTCAAGGCCAACAACTGGTGACGATTATCTGAACAGGTCCTGGGCCTCCCCTAGGTCGATGCAGCCTCAAATGAGTACCTGGTGTGGTGTGTAAACATCATCACTAGGGAGACAAAGGCGGCCAGGCGTGGTGTTAGCCACCCACCCCCTCGTGTGCCACAGTGCCGGCCTTGATAGGTGTTCACTAACAGCACTTGCCCCAACAGTCTGTTCCAGGCTATATGGGAATCTTTGTCTTTGTTTTTGCGACACCCACTTCACTGGGTAATGAGGTAGTGTCTGTAAGAGGGCAGCATGGCCTTCGAGGTCTGTATTAACCTGCAGGAAATTGTTTAAGCAAACAGCGACTGACCAATTTAGACCTTCTTGTGTTCATGGTCTCAAATGGTCAATAGGTTCATCAGCTTCCCTATCCCCCAACCCTGGCAGCACTTCCCAGGACTGAGTTGTGAAGCTTTACACGTGGCCGGTAGCACAAGCTACCTGGGCTTGGCGGGCTTCTCCCCTTCCATATTGGTTCACAGTGCCGTGAGAGATGGTCACGCGTTGGCAAATGTAATGGGACAGCATATCAATTATACGTACGATGATATGAGTCAGGCGTGCTTAATAATACTGCTGATTTACCAGATATTATTGGCGCGAGGCCTTCCCCCCCTAAATGACGGTCCGCCTGACGGTGCAAATGATATAAGTACAAATAACGCGCTGCAGTACAGGATTCTTGGAAGTAAAAAATTCCGTATGTACGTTGAACTTCTGCTGCAGCGTACGTAGCCAACCGCGCTAATTGGAGGTGCAGGGACCCCCTCGACCAACCGCCCGACTCAACCAAACAAATGAAATTGCCGGGCGTACCAAGCGTTTTGACGCCCAAACGATGATCGTTTCAGCTCGCGGGCAAGTCGATGAACAAACTCTCACGAGCGCACGTAGCGGGGACCTAACCCTACGCGTTACGTCGACGTTAAACGTTGCTGGTCGTCGCTGGTCGTCACCTGCTCATGTCGAAGAGGAAGCGGTCGGCTCGTGCCATGCGCTCAGTCTCGTGCTTGTGCTCCTCCAGCAGGTCCACGTCGCTCTTCTCCGGCACGAATTTCAGCAGCTGCGACACGCCACAAGCAAGGTACACGCGCCGTGTTAACACACACGGGGAACACAATCTGAGCGCACGCGCGTGAGATCGCAAACGCATGCACGCACAACGAGGCACGCACCAAGGCACTAAGTGAACACTCTTAAACGTAAACACGTGCGCATGCTTCCAACGACCAACATCCCCCGTATAGCCTTAACGGACCCTTGGGGTGAGTGCTGTAGGTGAGCCCCTATTAAGGCCGGCATGGCACAAAAGGGTGTGGGGGTAGGCAGTCCATTGCTGGACCGTAATTCTATGCTCCGTGTTTGTTCCCTGCCTTCACTAACCCACACATTGGCCACTGTGTTAAGAGTACGGTCGGATAGCCCCGATGATCCACACAGCATTGGGAGGACCTCATTCGGCAGTGGATTGACAAAAGGTTTGTATATGAGTTGAGTAGAGTTGAGCTTAGAGTACCATTGAGTCGGACAATCTTATTTATTGTGTGAGGTCATGGGTGACCGGGCTGAGACCACCAATTCGCTACACTTGAGAACCTGGTTTATTCGTGGGAGGCAGGAACCCAGAATGAATGTCAAAAGTGCAACATAAACTAAAACTAAACTTTTACTTTACCAGGTAAGGCCCACTGAGCTATACAGATGTTTTCCAGAAGCGACCTGGCCACAAATGATAGCTCAACGAAGTGGCTTATCACGTGGAATTGTATCGCAGCCGGAAAAAAATCCACGCGACCACGGAGAGAGACACGCAAACTCAATGTACAGCAGCAGGCGTCGGGGTCGGGATCAATCCCACGACCTCCTGAATACCAGGCGAGGTAGTTAACATCTCCTAGCCACCATGGCACCCCAGCAACATTTTCACTTGGCTACACAAAAAGGGGGGAGGGGGTTGAACCTTAAGCAGGTGGGGGTGGGGGGGCTCAGTCCCCGTCAGCTCCCCCCTCTCCCCTCCCCACTCCCCAAAGCCAAACACTCCAAACGCACTTTGATTCGAAATGCTCTGACCCTCTGCGTTCTCCGGCCACCCGCGGTCTCTTTCCGTTGCGAGTTGGAATCTTCTTGTCAGATGTGGGGGCAGTGAGAGCGTGTGTATGTATACCTGCTCGAGCATATCCTTGGGCAAGTCTTCCTGGTCATCCATGCGCATGATCGCACGCTTTATCTCATCGTTCGACAGCTTCAGTCTGCTCAGACAACAGGGAAACATATTCAGAAAGCACCGGGGAAGCATCAGAATCCGAATACTTCATTATACCGGAGGAATTCGATGAACTCTCTCAAACTTTTTGACACAAATGTCTCAGTAGGGGGGGCATGGGGTGAGAAAGATACAATAACAAACAATACACAAATACGATAGCAAATCACAAAAAATCTGACAACACCGTTTCGACTCCCTTTTTGGCAGAATAAACGAGTACCACTCATCTTTGCGACCCTTTGTGCCAGTATCAAGATGACGGGGGGAAAAAGGCCTTAGCTTTTCTGGAAATAATGTGTGGGTTAAGATGTTTAAACACCAAATAGACAACTAGTACTGGAATGGTAAAAGTTGTGAGTTTACACTCCAACACACCGGTGTGCTGAACTAGTAACGAATTGGCGCGTTTTGTTCACGTGACAAACCTTACTAATTGGCTGTGTAGGGTGGTGGTGGGTTTAACGACACACTTATATTAACGTGATCTAACCCAAAAACCTCTCATGGATAATATTGGTCGTGAAAGACTACGTGTTAAACCAAATAGACGCCTATTACTGCAATGAGTGTCAAGGACAACGCATACATTATCAAAGCATATTTAATTGCATGTTTTACCACGAGTACGTGTGGTTAATTCAGACTTTATGCCTTGCAATAGGTGTCTGTGTGGTGTTTGAACATCTTGACACCTCTTGTATTATTGCCAGAAAGAGAAGAGAACCAGTTAAGAGGAAGCCAAGGGTTGTGGCCCTGTAGTTTGACACTATTCTATGAATTTATTACAATAATAAATTAAACGTATAAAGTGCCCTGAAATAATCGTTCTCAGGGCGCTATGCATGAAAAGATGTAAGATAGTTTAACGTCAACCCAGGAAAGAGGAAAATAGAAAGACGTTTCAAAATAACTAAAGAGAGAAAGCCCTATTAAACAGATACGTTTTTCATCAAGATTTTTGTAGTGTTTTTGAAGTCCCCCTGACCTCGAAGGGGCAAGGAGTTCTTGTATTTAGGTGCCGCAATTGCCAAGGCAACAACCTCTGTGTGCCTATGTTTGTCTCTCTCTATGTATCTCTGTGATATATGTCTCTACTTGTCTGTCTATATGTCTCTGGTTCTGTGTTTTATCTCTCTCTCAAATTTAGCATTCTTAGGAAGAACGTAATCAACCAGGTAGGGTGTTATCCGACTCTCTGTTGTATAACATTACACTTCTAAGTATACCAGATTTGTGTTTCTATTTCATTTATACCTGATGATGATTGCTTGTGTTGCAATCGAACCGTCGTATGCTAGTATTTAATTTATTATTTTTTCTTTATACGTCACTTTACCGAAAGAACCAAAGAGTGACCGCCCCAAATAACGTCCGGCAGTTGCTCATGGCTGCCACGTTCCAACTTTGTAAGTTGTGTGCATTTTATAACGAATTCAAAAAAACACCTTTTGACAAATCCACAGGGCTCTTTAAACAAACTGGTCATGAAGGTAAATTTTTTGTGTATATATATATATAAACACGTGTATTCATGTAACGTATTTTACCAACGTCTGAATTGCTCAAGTAGAAGAAATAACGTTTATAGTCGATACTCGAAACTGCGTTAAAGTTCTCAAAGTATGAACAACGAGAGAGTGAGACGAGCGGGCCTGTGTGTGTGGTGCACGTGTGCACATGCCATCTGAATTTTATACAAACCAGACGCCACAACGTGTGCATGCGGTTGGGCGGCGGCCTCTATCATTAAACCCGCTTCCCTATCCCCCAAACCCTGGCAGCACTTCAAAGGACCGAGTTGTGAAGAATTACACGTGGCCAGGTGCCCACGTGACTGGTAGCACAAGCTACCTGGTGGGGGGAGGGGGGGGGGTGCTGGCTTCTCCCCCTCCCATGTCGATTCACGTTGCCGCCGTGAGAGATGCTCACAGGTTGGCAAATGTAATGGACGTAACATCAATTATACGTACGATGGTATCATTTATGTTCTGCAGGATCTCGATGGAAGTGTCCAAGGCTGAAATTACAAGATGGGGTAAAAAGGCAAAGGTGCAGCTCTGCATCTGCTTGCTCACGCCGCTGCTGATGGTAGGACCTCCCAATAGAGCTCTAGGGAAGCCCCTATCTACATAAGCCACTGCGTTGACCTATCATTTGTGGCCAGGTTGCTTCTGAACGAGAGCAACATAGCTCAGTGGGCCTCACCTGCTGAAATAAATCAAGAACGGTGATGACCAGTGGTTGAGAGTAATGATGAAGTTGCGATCAAAGGAGAGAACACATCCACGAGGATGTCCACCTTAGAGATGTTGCGATTTCAGCTCGTGTGCGGGCGCTAGGTGCATTCTTGCATCGCAGGGCTCTCGGAGATATGGCCAAGGTTCGGGGAGGCCTACATCCAGCAGTAGGTAGCTCATGGGCTGATGATTTGTGAATGCTCGATGACAGATCAAAGGACAGGCCCAAGATGTTGTGGGTTATCACGGTATGGTGCCGATTTAATCAACTGCCCTCCACACTGAAACTGCCTGACCTTGTGATCTTTATTCTACACACATGGCATATCATGGCAATGTACGTTTTACGGGTTCTGTGGCTGTGCTTAAAGTCATTTGGAGGTTGATTAATGATCCTACGGTGATCGTAGAGGCATTCCCAACTGATGCAAGAGCCTCAACACAGGGATGGAATGAGACAAAACTCCAGACAACATCACCGGCCAGGTGTCTCGGCGGTAGAGGGAGTGGATCGCTATCGGGAAGGTGGGCGAGCTCAATTCCTGCTTGGTGGAGTTAGCTCGGCCCATCATTCCCTCTCCGGTGTCGATAAAGCGAGTACCACTTTGTGGGGGTGGGGGGGGGGGGGGGTGTAAACCGTTGTCCTATGGAAATACTCGGCTCCGCCATAGGAATGGGGAACTTCCACCACCGGCTCTGGAGCTATAAACAGGAGATGAGCAACCTCCTCAATGCTTGCTCATCCGCACAGTCGCAGGACACAAATGACACTCATTGGGCCCTTCCTGCTGAAATAAACACATTCCTGCGGAGGGAGCTGGGAGGGACGTTGGGTTGCTCGGTCAATGGCCAGGGTCAACGGCGGCGTGGTGTATTCCGCAAATATGCCCGACTGTGAGGGCGGGCACAAGCCGACGTGAGTAGGTTAAACGTTGAGTTTTATAAGGGCACCACGGGGTGACCAGCCCCTCCCCACCCCGCCCCTCCCTCCCCACCCAGCCCCTCCCTGCAAGACGGACACAATAATCCCCTGTGGGCTGGTATAACCAGGAGGTTCCTACCAGTAATAGAATCTATCCATCAGTCGATCAAGGAATGAAAGAGGGGCTCTCGCCCCCCCCTTCACGCCCCCCACCCCTCGCGCCCCACCCCCCCTCTCCCGTGCCCGTCACGCACCTGGACAGAAGAATGACGCAGTTCTGCGCGCGCCTCCCATCGATCACAGAGAGCTCCTTGGCTTTCCGGCTTCCACAGTCCAGCAGCTCCTCATTGGAACCCATCTCCTTCTGCACGCATCGGTTTCCAGCGATAGACGGGTCAGGTCACGCGACCACGGGGAGAGAGAGACACCGCAAACTCCAAATATACAGCAGCGGGCGTCAGGGTCGGGATCGACTCCACGACCTCCTGTATACGAGGCGATGTAGTTAACATCTCCGAGCCACCGACACTGCCTGTGGTGGACACACACTAACCCCACAGGATAGCAGAAGAACTACTTCATGCTGATTGGTTAGAGATGACCCAAAGACAAAGATCCCCAGTATAGCCTGAACAGACTGTTGGGGCAAGTGCTGTTAGGGAGCAGCTATGAAGGTCGGCATGTCTCCCTAGTGGCAATGGTAACACACCACACCAGGTACTAATTTGAGGCTAAGTCGACCTAGGGGAGGCCCAGGACCGGTTCAAACAATCGTCACTGGTGTTGTCCATGAGCAGGAAGTTCGGAGTGGTAACGCGCTAACCACTAAGGCACCGCTTCTCACGCACGCACACAACCGTGATCTCAATTACGGCAAATCTAAGCAACTGTTTCCTTCGACCCACTCGCCGACAAACGAACGTTCTTGCTTGAAACCCATTTTCATGAACGCCTCTACTCATGTAATTATGATGCAAATGAATATATGATGGCATGGTCCTTCAGCCCTTGGCCTGAAGCAGGCCCAATCGGCACCACTTGGGGAAGCGTTTTAGCTCCAGATCACAAAAATGTGAACCTCGTGTTGGAGCAATATAAAATCGACTATCGTGCGATGCGAAAGATGCACAGAACATGAAAACATACAGGGAGCGTGTATTACAAAACAGATGGTACATAGGCTAAGCTTTCTGCCCACGGTGGCCACCGCCCATGGTGACTACTGCTCGTGGTGGACACTGCTTGTGGTGGACACTGCCCGTGGTGGACACTGCTCATGGTGGACACTGCCCGTGGTGGACACTGCCCGTGGTGGACACAGAGTGGTGGACACTGGTAGCATTTGCCACCCCAGGTGGTCCCGAGCAACTCCCTCGACTCAACTCCCAATGGGCCCAACACGGTTGGCGCGTGTGCATGGCAGCACGCGGCGCACTCACCTGCCTGAAGCTACCCACATTGAACATGGGGTCCTTGATTTTTGTGAGCGGGTTAAAGGTCATCGTGCCAGCAGGAGAGAAACACAGCAGAGGGGGTGAGCGAGCACTTGGCATTTAAGTACTCCACACAGGCATTCTTAACGGCAAGTGTGCAATGTGCGTTAGCAGCTAGTTACATGGACAACTAGGCCTGTTCCATGCAGTAGCATCTAGGAAAGTATCGATTCAACGAGTTGTCACGATTATATGCAGGCCATTGGGCGCCCGCCGTGTCACGTGACGCAAGGTCAATTGAAACGCGTGGGCTTCATCGCTGTACGCACGCACGCACACACGCACCTGCTGTCGCTGGTAGGCGGAGAACATGCGCTCGATGTCTGCAAGGTCCAGCACCTTGAACGCTCGCAGGTCATCGATCTCACTCCACACCGTGCTCGAGATCTTGTTCTGTGGAGGAGAAGCAGCGGCAGACGGTCCGTGAAGGCCAGCCACAAGTGCAAGCCGGGCTTGGGAATGGTTTCCCGAGCAAGTGTTGTTCGTGTGCACCTATGAGGAGGTGGGTGGCCAACACTACGCCTGGCTGCCTTTGTCTCCCTAGTCTCAATGCTTACACAATACACCAGGTACTCGTTTGAGGCTGAGTCGACCTAGGGGAGGCCCAGGACCGATTCGGATAATCGTCACTGGTGTTGGCCATGAGAGGGAATCGAACTCCGGTTCAACGAGTTTGTAGCGCTAACCGGCTGCACGACCGCTCTCTACTTCTCTACTATCAAAGACAAAGATATCGACCACATAAGCACATTAAATGAATCAATATTCTGGAAAACGCAAAACGAATGTCCATTACAATTATGATCATACAAGCGTTGGAAATTGATGCAACCATCCAGGTGTCGCTAATCAAGTTAATGATATCACAGTGACTGTTAGAAGAGAAAGTGGGTTTGGCCAGAGCATGTGGCTGGGAGGGTCAATGGCCGGTAGGCGAAACTTACTATGCAGCAGCGGCGGCCAATGGAAGGAACGCAGTCAGCGAGAGGACATTCACCAAACGAGTGTGGGGCAATGAGAGGTGGACTGCTGCATCGCAGGACTGTGATATTAATCTTGGCCACTGACGGTGCATATGTCGCACAAGCAACACATTCTGTTCAATTAAACGATTCCGACTAAACCATTTCTAATTTTACCAGATGAAGCTCGCCGAGCTACATAACTCTTTTTCAGAAGCGACGTGGCCATAAAATGATAGCTTAACGAATTGGCTTGTCACGTCAAAATGTATAGTAGCCCAATACTCTAAACGCACGTTGATTCTAAATGTGGAAGAAAAAATCGGGAGGAGCGAGAGAAAAATCTACGCGACCACGGAGAGAGAGACGGGCAAACGCAAATATACAGCAAACGTCAGGGTCAGGTTCATATTCTTAGGTTTTTTCGGTAAAGTCACGTAGGTAAAACATCAAAATTAATAAAAATAAAAAATAAGATAATATAAAGATCACGACGTTTTGGAGGCAACACAAGTCTCCGTCATCAGGTGGGACCGTCACAGCCAGATTAGCTGCATCAAGTGAGGCAATGATTCAAGATGTAATCCCTTAAAAGCGAGTTGAGGGGGGAGGAGAGGGGGGGGGGAGCTCATCAGAATGTGGTAGCCAATGAATGGAACGTATCGGGAGGGAGGGGGGCGGGGCCAAAATGGTGGGCGACGGCGTGGAAGCGATTGTCGCTTGCGCACAATCGCTTCCACACCGTTGCCCACCCTTTTGGTCCCGCCCCCCTCCCTCCAGATACGTTCCATTCATTGGCTACCACATTCTGATGAGCTCCCCCCCCCCCTCTCAACTCGCTTTTAAGGGATTACATCTTGAATCATTGCCTCACTTGATGCAGCTAATCTGGCTGTGACGGTCCCACCTGATGACGGAGACTTGTGTTGCCTCCGAAACGTCGTGATCTTTATTTTATTTTATTTTTATTAATTTTGATGTTTTACCTACGTGACTTTACCGAAAAAACCTAAGAATATGAATCCTTGCAGTCACGAAAGCTTCAAATCTAGAATTAAGTCATGGTCAGGATCAAACCCACAACCTCCTGTATACCAGGCGAGGTAGTTAACATATCGCCACCACATCATACGAATAACAAGGTCTGTGTCACCTCAGGCAGCTTGGACCAGTTGAACGACTTGAGAGGGTTCGACGGCTGTGGGATCTTCTTCTTGGGGAGTTCCGAAGGAGGCCCCGATCCCAGCATTCCCGGCGGGGGTGGGGGGGCACCGGGGGGTCCTCCTGGAGGAGGCGGAGGAGGAGGGGGCGGCGGGGGAGGGACCCCACCGGGAGGTGGGGGTGGTGCCGGCGGAGCCAGGTTTGAAGAGCTCAAGGCTGGCACGGTTTCCCCGCTCGCACCTGGCAGGCCGCTGGTAGGCAAGGGCACCCGCGGCCCTCCGATGCTGCCACCCTGGGAACGACATCGGAGTGGTCACAGTCGCCGTCAGCCGCAGCTTCATCACCGTTGTCGTTTTTCCGCGGTGCGCACCGTCGGCGGCGATCCGCCGCAGCAAAAAAGCAACGTCGCCGGAATCGTCCGCTGCAAATATCGTCATCAAATATAGTTGCCCGCCGTCGCCAGCGCTGTTGCCATTCGAACAGAAACGTAAATCGTAATTGAAATGGGTCGCGACCTCAACTCTAGATGAATAATTATTCATCGAGTTACACCAAATGTTGAGAGAGGCTTATAGCCACAATAACACCGTTTCACAAAAATATCACCGACGGCTAAAAAAAGGGAAATGTGTGAACGCGGCTCGACGCAACAACCATGGGACGTCGCCACGCACGCCGCCGTTGCCCAACAGCTCGCGGCCACTGGCGGGTTATCCTGAAGCTGGAGGTTACTTGTGGAAGGTGAGGTAACCCTCCATGAAGACGCTTACAAAGACGAGGCACACTAAAGTAAGCAGCGCTCATGGGAAGAGGTCAACGAGGGTGACATACTCGCAGAGGCAAGGAACACGGGGGGGGGGGCAAAAGTACTCGTACAGTGACATGCGCTGGACAGAGATGTCGCCACACTAGGAGGTGTGCTAAAAAGAGGGAGGTACTCGCACAGGAAAATACACGCGAAGGATAGAGAGGTACTCACAGCAGCAGGGTACACTAGAGATGCTCACACAAGGTGGTACACTATTGGGAAAGACAGGTACGAATGGAGGCAAGGTACATTAGAGAGATATACTTATACAGAGAGGTACGCGTGGAGGCGAGGTACACTTGATGGACAGAGGTATTCACAGAGGCGAGGTACATTAGAGAGAGGTACTCTTGATGGACAGAGGTACTCACAGAGGCGAGGTACACTTGATGGACAGAGAGGTGCTCACAGAGGCGAGGTACATTAGAGAGAGGTACTCACAGAGGCGAGGTACACTTGATGGACAGAGAGGTGCTCACAGAGGCGAGGTACATTAGAGAGAGGTACTCACAGAGGCGAGGTACGCGTCGAGCCGCGACTGCAGCTCGCGCGCCTGCTCCTCGGCCTGTCGCCGCTCGGCCGCCTCGCGCTGGAGCTTGTCCTTCATCTTGTTGAGCGTCGTCATCATGTCCTCGCGCTCCTGCGTCTTGGCCTCGCACTCGCGTTCCTTCTTCTCCAGCCGCTGCATCAGCTCGCTGTGCTCTGCCGCCCGCACGCGAGAGAGGGACAGGGATGAGCGTCGCTCCGCGTTCGTTTTCGTTTTCGCTTGCGAAATGAGCGACCGGACAATTAGGCCTCGGCAAGGTAAGGTAAAAGTGTACAAGCAACGAGCCTACCTTTACCTTACCTTTAACCTTGCCACAATACAATCACTCTACCCTACCTTTTACCCTTTAGCAGGTAAGGTAAAAGGTAAAAAGCAACGAGCCTACCTTTACCCTACCCTTTACCCTACCCTTTTACCCTTACCCCTTGGCATGTCGACACCTTTACCCTTTTACCCGGTAAAAAGGGTAAATTACCTTACCTTGCCGAGGCCTACGGACAATGTACTTTTTTTGTTGGCAGCGATAGAGCCCCCACGGTTTGGATCGGGCGTGGGGAACGTAGGTTAATCAGGCTTGCCTCGGGGCCTACGAGTTAGTTTCACGCGTGGCTCTACAACTTCGCAACGGACAAAATTGCATCCGTCGCCGCGACCATCTTAGCCGCACTAATCAGGCACGAGAGGGGGGGGGGGGCGGCAAATATTTTGAATGCGGCAATGTGGCCCAGCGGTAGCGCGCTCGCCGCATGCTGCAAAGGCTCACGGTTCAATTCCAGCGGCCGCCCCACTTATTACTGCGGGCAGAGCAAACGTAATAATGATGCGTGCAGTGGATGTCAAAGATCCCCTGAGCGTAATACGCAAGAGTGGGCCATTTCAGGAATTCCAAATTGCTCGCCAAATTACCTATTTGAGATTCTGACACAGCAATAATTGCCCCGACGCTCGGACTAATTAACACCCCAGGTCACTCTTGCGGATGAGACTATCGCGGTCTCTCGAGTTCTCGCCTGCTTAAACAACACGAACTTCAACAAAAGTAAGACCGTGTTTATAATTTGAGTACGAAGCCACTTCTGTGCGACTGACCCGGGTGCTATAGAGGGGAGGACATCTGCACAATGGGCCACAACACCGTTTATAACTTGAGCACGCTAAGCCTTAGCTGCACTCGTCGGGCAGTTCACTGACCCTTTCTCGTCTTCTCCGCCTGCTCTTTCCACTGCTTGACCTCGTTCTCGTTCACCAACCTGCGAAAGACAAACACGTGACGCCATCACTCCGCCGTACGACGCCGTCGGCACAGGAGGTTGGCCGACGAAGAGGCCCAGCAAAGAGAACGGTCTGACATCCCCATGAGCTAGCATCTCAGGGAGTAACTTACGTTAATACTCAACACAACTTCATCTCCTGGTCACCTCTCAACTTCACAACCTACAACACCTGGGTCACTCACACGCACGCGATGGGTCACTCACACGATGGGTCACGCACACGATGAGTCACTCACATGAACACGATGGGTCACTCACACGATGGGTCACTCACACGATGGGTCACGCACACGATGGGTCACTCACACGATGGGTGACACACACGATGGGTCACTCACATGAACACAATGGGTCACTCACACGATGGGTCACTCACACGATGGGTCACGCACACGATGGGTCACTCACATGAACACGATGGGTCACTCACACGATGGGTCACTCACATGAACACGATGGGTCACTCACACGATGGGTCAATCACACGATGGGTGACTCACACAATGGGTGACACACGATGGGTCACTCACATGTGCATGACGGGTCACTCGCAAGTACACGATGGGTCACTCACACGATGGGTCACTCACATGCGCACGATGGGTCACTCACGATGGGTCACACAATGGTCCACTCACATGCGCACGATGGGTCACTCACACGGGCTCACGGGCTCACACAATGGTCCACTCACATGCGCACGATGTTCTTCACACTGAAGTTTTCCAGCGGCGCCACGTCGGGGTCCTCCCCGCGGTCGCTCTGCAGCACCACCTGCTGCAGGATGCGGTCCAGCAGCTGCCACTGCTGCACCATGGTGCCGTTGCGCTTGTCTGCACGCAGCGGGAGACACACACCGGCGCCCTTCAACTCGCGCGTCGCAGCCGAGATCCCGACGTTCGAAGCCGAGAGCCACATCTTCTTGGTTCTTTCGGTAAAGTCACGCAGAAGGGAAATAATAAAAAAATACAAATAAAACATTATAAAATAATACAAATAAAACATTATAAAATACAATTCTCACGACGTTTCGGCCACAACGCAAGCAGCCGTCCTCAGGTGAAGAACAGGTCTGTCGGGAAGACAGCGTCTGAATGAGAGACGGCTGCTTGTGTTGTGGCCGAAACATCGTGAGAATTATTTTATTATGTTTTATTTTTATTATTTTATTTTTTCCCTTCTACGTAACTTTACAGAAAGAACCAAGAAGATGAATCCTTGCAGTCACGAAAGCTTTAAATCGAAACCGAGAGCCACAGTCGCATAAAAAATAAACCATATTCGCATTAAAACTAAACCCCGGTATTAATATCTCAACAACTGGGATTCGCGCATCAAAGCTCACGTTAGTACTCAACACCGACAGGAACATGGTTCTTTAATTATCATCAACATCATTGACTTTCATTTAAATCTTTCATGACTGCAGGGATTCATATTCTTGGTTCTTTCGGTAAAGTCAGGTAGAAGGGAAACAAAAAATTAATAAAAATATAAAACAATAAAAATTCTCACGACGTTTCGACTGCAACACAAGCAATCATCATCAGGCGTGAAATCCACAGCAAGATGATTGCTTGTGTTGCAGTCAAAACGTCGTGAGAATTTTTGTTTTATATTTGTATTTTTTTTCCCTTCTACGTGACTTTCCCGAAAGAACCAAGAATATCATTGGCTTTGTTCAATGCACTGCTGGATGATGAAGGCCTGCCCAAGCTGCCACCATCTCTTATGGTCCTGACATGTAACGATCCACCTAACACCTGTGCACGCACAAGCTGATTGGATCGATGAGGATGGAGCTATATCATATACAATTCAGCACCGACTTACGTGATATGAAGGGACATTGCCCAAAACGTCGCCTATTGCATACGATTCCTTTTAAGGCCGCAGGTGTTATTGACATAAACGTGCTGAAATTTTATTTTGTTGAATTTATTTCACAAGGACGTCTCGTGAGCATGATCTCAAAGACCTCTCACATCAACGTCAATGGGTGTGAAGCTCGGGCAAGAGACAGGGAAAACCGGCGCAGTGTACTCTGGGTAGGCGCACGGGACCACGGCATCAGATGGATTCATTCGATCCGGGACGAGCGTCGGCGTGCGTACTAAAGCACGGCGCCATCAGCCTTGGGGCACTCACAAAGTCAGCAGCCATGACAGGACCACCACAGTCAAGTACAGAGGTGGCAACCGCGGCGGCACAAGCAGGCCCCGGCGTTCCGCCATCGGCCTTTTCAGTCGTCACGGGAAACGTCCGAATAAAATAAATCCTCTCGAAACAAGGCGGAGGCCGAAAACCCATCGGCTTGCGATGACGGGACGTTGCCGTGAGATATCAAGATGATGGTTCGTGCGCTAGGGGTCAATGGTGCTGGGGGGGGGGGGGGTCTCACAGGGCATCTCTAGGCAGTGCTGCAGGATGGACACGAGGTGGGGGTACGCCTCCGTGTGCGCCAGCTTCTTCCGGATCACGTCGAACATCTGTCCCACGCTCTTCGTGTCCACGTGGGTCTGTGGTACGGGAGGCAAAGGACGAGACCGCAGAGAATCGCGCGTCGGCCGTTACACGTTTCGGGACAATGTAAATCAACCTGTGCATGTACGTATGCATGTACGTTGAACTCCTTTAGCACCGTACGTAGCCAACCGTGCTAATCAGAGGTGCGTGGGAAAGATAACAACCTAAACACAAAAAGCAGTTCTAAATTAATATACTTTCAATCTAGAGGATTCAAAAGTGAACAGCTCCGGTGGCTTCCTGATATCGGAAGAGCATTCCAGATGACCGCAGTGACCACGTCTGTTCGATGGCTAGCCAAAAGGTGCTGCGAGGATGACCAGAGTTCGCGTGATGGTTGATGTTCCTTAGTCAAATCTACCACTGGGTGAGAGGGCTTCCCCAACAATGCGGGTCGCGGGGGTGATCCGACCGCCCTTTACCACACCGGCTAGGTCCGTATTGAAGGTGGCGAGAAAAGATGTGCGTAGCGGAGACGTGGAGTACGACAACGGATTTTGCTGCAAGATCTTCTGCTGCCCACCGCATAGCCCAGCAGCAACAGCAGCCTACATTATTAGGAAGCCACTAGGGCTATGCACAGCTAATTCTAGATCGAAAACCCATTTCTTTAGAACTGCTTTATTGTGCTTAGTTTGTTGTCCTTGCCCCGCACCTCCGATGACCATGGCTGGCCACGTACGCTGCGAAAGGAGTTCAACATACGCACATATCAACCTGCTATGGTGGTCGCCCATCCGAGCACTCTCCTCGGTTGCCTTCCGACATCTGACGAAGTCGGGTGAGTGGAACGAGTGAGTGAGTGTGTGCGTGCGCGGCGTCTCGTGGAGTATTCCAAACGAACGGGAGACCCACCATGTCGAATCGCTTGGCCAGCTCCGCTTCGTCTTCGTTCCTGATCATTTCAAAGAAGTCTAAATGCCTGCCGGAGTAAACAGAAACACGTGTTATATGCGTAATGCCCCGTATTGCTATGGGACAGGTCTATGGGCAGTGTTGAGTCTACGGGCAGTGTTGAGTCTATGGGCAGTGTGAGTCTATGGGCAGTGTGAGTCTATGGGCAGTGTGAGTCTACGGGCAGTGTGAGTCTATGGGCAGTGTGAGAGTACGAGGAGTGTTGAGTCTATGGGCAGTGTGAGTCTACGGGCAGTGTGGAGTCTACGGGCAGTGTTGAGTCTACGGGCAGTGTTGAGTCTACGGGCAGTGTTGAGTCTACGGGCAGTGTTGAGTCTACGGGCAGTGTTGAGTCTATGAGCAGTGTGAGTCTACGGGCAGTGTGAGTCTACGGGCAGTGTGAGTTTATGGGCAGTGTTGAGTCTATGGGCAGTGTTGAGTCTATGGGCAGTGTTGAGTCTATGGGCAGTGTGAGTCTAAGGGCAGTATTAAGTCTCCAGGCAATGTTGAGTCTGTGGGTTGTTATAAATATGTATTTCCAGCCACATGACGCACGGCGTCTTTGAAATTACATGAAGGAAGCCCCTAGTTTAATGCATTTTTACAGTGAATTCCCAAGATTTCACGGACTTCGTTGAAATTCGCGATTTCTGAGGCCACCTCCGTGACGAGATCGTCGCGTTACCATTTGGGCGCTAGCTGCATGCATGTACGTACATTTAACTTATTACACACCGTACGTAGCCAATCGTGCTAATCGGAGGTGCAGTTCTAAAGAAGTGAGTCTTCAAGCTAGCGCATGTCTGCGAGGATGTGTGTGTGCGTGTGTGTACGTGTCTCACTTGTCGAGGGTGGCGTTGTCGTGTCCCCGCAGCTTGTCGATCACCGGCTGGATCCCCAGCATTAGGAACTCGTAGCGCAGGTGCACGCGGAACTCCATGTTGTCCTGCAACGCCGCCGCCGCCGCCAACGTCATCGTCACGCCACGCACGCAACACGACGGCTGCCCCGCGGCCATCGCCCGGCTCGTTTATAACTCTCTCGAGCCCAGGGTGCCCCCGGGTGACCGTTTGGGACGAATCTCATCGGTCGACTAGGCAAGCTCGGTTACCGGCCACGGCTAACGTCGAAGCCGTGCGGTATCGCAAAGGGTCCTCCGTCACCTCGCCCCTCCCCAACTTTCGCGAGCTGGAGTGTCCAGCGACCCGATAAGGCATGGGGAGGGCCCTCGTGCGGAGGGCCGTACAAGCTGACTCAAGGCTACGCACGAAAACGAAAAGCGTGTTTTGTTAGCGCAGCCTCTCTCCGTGTTGGGGTAGTCGTGCCGCTTGCAATGTTAACCACCTCGATTGCGGTACAGACTTAAGAATTACGTCGGTTGGATAATACGAGATGGCCGGGCGGCTCTTGAGACAACTGCTGAGACTCCCGGTTCAAATACGGAAGCGGCATTGTAAACCTCTGGCAGTTTGAGGCATTGCGGCTGGACGATGAGGCCACAAGGGTCAGCTGTCAAAAACAATTAAGCTGATGGCAATGGGCCAAGGATGGGCATCGCGCAACAGCGCGTGCGTGCGTGCGAGCGTGCGAGGGTCGTCACCTTGCCGGCGCCGGCGTTGAGGACGGCGTTGATGAAGGACATGATGGCCGTCTTGAGGCTGACCTCGTCGCGATAGCGCCCCGTGCTGCGGTCCAACTCGTTCACGAGCGTCTGATGAGGGAAGAGGGGTGAGGGAGGCACAGGGAGACGAAACGTGGCAGAGACGACCGCATAGGTGTTCGTCGCGGTTTGTGCTGCGTAGCTCTAAGGGGTTGTGTCGTTCGGTGCGACATCCAACATTTCTCTCCGCGTGATAGGAGGCTTCAGGGCCATGATAAACCAGAGCCATTTTTGCCCAATCGGTACGTGAAATTTGGTGCGGCAATGTGGTAGAGAGATTAATCCAGAGTTTGTTGAAAGGCGTGTTTGTTGAAAAGTGGTTTTGGTCAACAGAGCACACACAATCTCAGGTATCCATGTGAACTCCGTTGGCTACGTACGGTGCAAAAGAAGTTCAACATACATACACACACGTAACTCTGAGGTGTTTAATAATGATATTGGGGGGTTAAGGAGTTAAACAAGAGCCAACTGGTTTACTGTATGAGGATATACATATCGTTGGGTTAAGTCCAGAGGCAACAGTTATGCAAGATTCCTAATGCTAGAATTAGGACTACTATTTATATTTTATTTACCAGGTAAAGCCCACTGAGCTATTAGCTCTTTTTCAGAGGCGACCTGACCACACGTAACAGCTCAATGAAGTGGCTTATATCATAACCACACGTGGAAATTCATAGTAGCAGCCAAATCATATAAACGTGTCTTGTTTCTAATTGTGGAGGGGGGGCAAAACCGGAGGAACCCGCATCAACAATCCACGTGACCATGGGGAGAGAGAGAATGCACGGGGACTCCAAATATACAACGGGCATTGACAGGGTCCGGGGTCGAACCATCGAATTCCTGTATACCAGGCGAGGGAGTTAGGCATAAGGTGGGTAAGTGCGTCGATACGATCGCGCGATTGCTAGCATTGGGTCAAGGTCACCACGCCACCGACAGTCCGCATCAGCGGGTACTCGCACACACTCGTGGACATGTGTGAAAAAGCGCTTCGTAGCTCATCGGATTCCTCCGGTCTAAATAAAGATTCTCATTCACTCAGCGCTGGATGAAGGAAGCCCCGGTGGGTGGTTGGGAGGGGTGGTGGTGGGGGTGGTCTATACCTGGAAGCGTGTGCGCTCCGCCGCATACTTCTGGTAGTGCAGCATGGCCTGCAGCACGCGCTTGTGCCCGCCCGGCACCAGGCACACCGCGCCCAGGATCTCCAGCACGGCCACCTTGGTGCGCACGTTCTCCGTGCGCAGGCTCTGCGCAATCGTCTCGATGCTCGCTGGGTGTGCCAGCACGTGGGCTCGGCCCTGGGGGACAGTGGGCGGAGGGGTGCAGGCATGAGCGTGGCCACCGATGAGATGAAGTTTTTCACGACGACAGTTGGTTTTTGGGCTAGATCATTGCGTTGAACTACGTGGCCAAACGTGCTAATCGGACATTAGACAAACCCGCCACCCTCCCCAAAAACTTTGGACCTGGGTGGTAAGAGGCATGAGTGGGAAGGGATGGAGAGCTACAAACAAAAGTAGTCGGTTGGCTTCCTAATACCGGACGGAAGAGCGTTCCAGACGGCCGCGGAAGCGCATCTGAAAGAGCGCGATGCATTGCAGTGTGTGTCATGCACCCTCCTCCACCCGACACGCGTTTAACGTCACGGCGGTTGTTTTTGCCGATTGAGATTTACTCGAGTGCAGAATGCGAATGTCGCACGTGTAAAAACAAACTGCACCTTATAGTTTATATTCATATCCGCATCACCTGTCTTCTACTCCCAGCCTTGCTCACTCCCATCGCTTGTAAATTTGCCGTGCAGTGTTTCGAGCCTGCAGAGTTCTCTCCCCCCACACCCAACGTGTCACAGCAGGAGGTCGAGCTTTAGGATCAGCCTTTCCGCTCCTCTCCAGCCCACGCCCCGCCCCCTCAGCTATATAATCCCTTGTCAGAGTCATCTCTTTGGCATACTTCAGCAACTGTTGTCGCTGTGGTTGTCCCCACCTGATGACGGACGCTTGTGTTGCGCCCGACACGTCGTGATTTAATTTAGTTATTTCTATTTTTATTCTTTATTTTTATTCTTATCTTTTAATTTATTTTTTATTTTAATTTTTCACCTATGTGACTTTACCGAAAGAACCAAAGAGTAATGCACCTGAGAGTTGTTCATGAGGGCCTTGATGCACCCGATGAGGGAGGTATGCACGCGGCTCTCCGTTGTGTCGTAGTCCATGGACTTGAGGAAGTTGAGGAGGCAGGTGAGGCCGTCCAGCTCGATGAAGCGCGTCACGAATCTGCAAACAAACGCACGTACACACGCAAACATGTACACGTGCACGTACACACGCAAACATGTACACATGCACGTACACACGCAAACATGTACACGTGCACGTACACACGCAAACATGTACACATGCACGTACACACGCAAACATGTACACGTGCACGTACACACGCAAACATGTACACATGCACGTACACACTTACACACGCATGCACACACATACACACTCAAGCACATACATACACAGGTGCGCACGTACACAGGCACACACGTAAACCAACATCATCCGCCATTCGCCACCAAGTGGAGGTGACGTCACCACGGCGCTTGTGCTCGGCCAGGTCCAAGGCTGGCTGGCAGGAGGTCTTGGGTCTCAGTATTATGATGATTATATGCCGAGGCTGCTTTCTGCCAGCGTGTGTCGCCCTTATTAAAGAAGGTGGGTTGCACTTACAGTCTGGGGCATTCATCGTTAAAGCTACACACGTTTAATGTATCGCATTTTTATTCACCAAAAATGGTAGCCCTGTCAATTTGTCTCTTGGTTTACCTTAAAGAAGCAAGTTTTTTGGAAGTGGATAAATTTAATAGAAATGAACGGGTATTCGTCAATAAGCGAGTCATTCATCTTATTGAACGTAGTGGCGCTTACTTAGCTCTGCAGGTTCCTTCACGTGAACTTGGCCGAGTTATTAATATGGAAATAATGTCCAGGGAGTGCTTTGTTTGGATTTGCGAGCAGCTACTTCTTTTAATATTTGACTTTTTTAAATAATTCGTTTGTTGTCCTTCCCTCGCACCTCAGATGAGCACAGTTGACTCCGTATGGTGCGAAAGAAATTCAACATAAAAAACATTTTTTACCGATGACCTCATTGTCCCTTTTTTACGCTGCACAATCGCAACAACGCCCGTTGTCCGAACTTTTCAGAGCTTCAGTAGAACTCGTAAATTATTTAAGAGAGATGGAAAAACCGTCGCAAGGTGAAGATTGAATTATTCATCCCCTTACTCGCAAAAAAAACAAAAAAAAATATTCAGAGGCCCCAAACGCTCGCGCACAAGCGATGGCGATGACTTTGAAGCAAAAACACCGGGAGGCCTTAAACGTGCATGGAAATTGTCCAGGCTTGAGTCAAAAGGCAGACAAATAGCCCCTGAATAATTGAGAGATGAGTCAGAAAGAGATCAAAACAAAGAGGCCTCGAGTATTAGCTGGCTGTGTGTTGTGCCAGCTGCCGGAGAGAGATTGCCTAGGGAAACAATATTAAACTGGTGGTTATTCTGAGGACAGCCTCAACGCCACATTGCACTTGTAAAATTGAGTCATGGAAAAAATGTTTACATATAACTGTACAGTCATATATTGCGTGTCATCTAAATATTTCTTAGGAATATGTCATGCAATGACCATAACAATGAGTCATCAAGCTCTGCCAAGCCTGCACCAACGGGATAGTTGAATGTAAGATTTTTTGTCGCTTCATGACAAAATCATCCGAAATTATCCGGATCTCGTTCCGAACTCGTAAGGTAGGCACAAGGTTGAGACTGTTATTGCATGGACGTGTGGCTGACGGGGGCCTGCCAGGTGTTGACTGGATGAAGCTGTGAGGTGCGGCTAGAAGTTGGCAATGTTGAGTGCCCCGTTACATCAAAACTTGAGTTTGGTTTTTAGTCCAGACATGAAATTTGGACATGTATGGCGTGACGTGTCTGCCCACCCGTGTCTCCGTGGTCGCGTCTGCCTGCTTGTGTCTGCGTGGCCGTATCTTCCGGTCCGTGTCCGTGTGGCCATGTCTGCCCGTCCGTGTCTGCGTGCGTGTGTGCGCTACCGCATGGGCTGCGTCCGAAGCGCCGTCTTCAGGTCTTCCACCACCTTGTTTCGAGCTTCCAGCTCCTCCTCGCTGTTTGCTGCCACCGTCTGCATCTGTGGGCCAACCACGAGAGAGGATGTGGTCATGGTCTTCACTGGTGAATGGGCCAAAGCTCCCCCACCCACCCCTCATGGATGCCCTGGGACTCATTGGTAAATGGGCTCCGTGCGACTTGAGACTCCCCTGGGACTCGGTGAATGGGCCTCAAGCCCTCCATGGGTGTTGTCCTGGTACTCATTGAAGAATTCTAGATTTGAAGCTTTCGTGACTGCAAGGATTCATACTCTTAGGTTTTTTCGGTAAAGTCACGTAGGGGAAAATAAATAAATAATAACAACATATAATTTTAATAAATTATTCAAATAGTAGAAATAATAATAGAAATAAAATAATAATTGAAATAAAATACTCACTTATTATTTTATTTCTATTATAATAACTTATTATTTGATTTCTATTAGTATTTCTATTATTTTTATAATTTATGTTTATTACGTGATTTTATTATTTATTTATTTCTACCTACGTGACTTTACCGAAAAAATCTAAGAGTACTCATTGAAGAACTTTGGTCCCTTGACAGGTGAAGGGCCCTTTGCGTGTGACCAAGGACTCGGTAGTGCTGCCCTGGCTGCCCTGGCTGCCCTGGCTGCCCTGGCTGCCCTGGCTGCCCCTGGGGGTCGTTGTCATTGCTGGTGATGCTGGGCCCCGGTTGCACTGCAATGCTGCTCCCCCCCTCTCTTCCCTCCGATGTTGCTGACCTCCTGCACCCTTCTCCTGCACCCTTCTTTTACCCCCAATGTAGTTTTAATATTTTTTGTATATAGACGCCATGTGAACTAAAATTGTCGTTGTAAACAAAAGACCTTCGTTGGGGCAGCGCAGGACAGATGAAGAGACATGCAGACAGAAACAGCCGGCACATTGACGGAGCGTTTAAACCGACAGAAGGGTCAGACAGGTGAGACATACATGCGAGGAGAGAGAGAGAGAAAAAACTGACGCGATATTCCAACAGCCACGGTGGCCAATCTGCAATGCACGTCCTCTTACTGTCACCCGACCAGCCGGTGTTAATCATTTCCTCCACCCTGCGTGCATTTGTTGGGGTCGCGACTGCGACTGGCTTGTCGCTCCGAAACGTATCTGCGATGTCTATTTCTTCAGCCATGACTCACTTCACCGACTTTACTGGCTCTGCTTTGACACGTGTAAACGTCACTGCACACGGCAAGGAGTAACCTATTAATCGCGTGAGCCTTTACACCCATCAACAGAAATATGATCACGCTTTACTGCTTGAACAATATATCCACTTCAGCCGATATACGTTTGACAACGAAATCTGATATCAACTTGACAGCCTGAATACCTCCCACTGAATCACCCCGAATGCGACTGACCCCCGTCAGATCTCTGAAGCTTAGCGGGATTTTCAGCCTGGTTATTTACCGGGATTGATGGGAGACAGCAAGGGGATAGCAGGTGTTTTAGCAGAGGTCTCCGAGGTGACCAGGAGATGCGACGGTACACCAATGTCCTTTGAGATGCTTCTTCAATGATTCAACACCACTGAAAACAATTGCGGTCGCCCCTTACTCCAAGCGCATGTCGGTTTGATGGACTTTGACAACAAAATCCTTCCTTATGTACCCGACACACCAATGCACGTGTGCAGGACACGCAATTGCATGTGGAATCTATCCCTTGTCTGTTTACATATCTGTCCGATAGCCACCCTATAACTGTTTACATATTAGTATGATAGCCACACTACATCTGTTTAATGTTTATGTAACTTAATTATACTCGGTGTAAAAATAATCTCCCCAAGCCAACTTACGTTCCAGGCAATTAATTACACTGGTCAACACACTTTTTCTGGCATAAGGCATTCCACCGGTTGTAAGGTAATTTTGGGGTGCTGATGCCAGATTTGGAATCAGCACCCCAAAATTACCTTAAAACCGTTGGAATACCTTATGCCAGAAAAAGTGTGTTGACCAGTGTAATTAACATTGATTCGATGGGAATTAAGGGGGTTTAGGGGGTAGCAGGTTTCGAAAAGCACATTTGTTGAGCGAAATAAATATGAAATGTAAATGAACTTCATACCCTTGCCGCTGAATGTAATTTAAATCAACAAAGTTATACGCCAAGCGAGACGAATTATATTCGGTAAGGCACAGTCCGCGATAACGCGTGGGATGCGTACGCAGGCTGAAGAAAGACCGAGGCGCGTGGGTAGCATCTGGAAACATCTGGAAGCATACAGCAGCATCCCGCCTCGCGCAACACGGAGCCGAGGCAGCCGCGCTACCGCTTACTCCTACGCGCAGCGACGTACTTTCGTTCCCTCAATCGCGGTGCATCCAACTCGCGTGATGAAAGCAACACGTGTTGGAGCAGAACGGACTGTACACTTGACTTCAGACATTCACGAGCCCGTGGGAGCGCGTGCCCCCCCCCCACGCCGCGACGCAGCCGAGGGGTGACCCGAGTGCGCTCGCGTTACCGTTGCCATGGAGGCAAGCTGGTCAATGTAGTAGTCGGGCCAGCTGGTCGCCTGCTTGTTGGGGTCCTCTTGTTCCTGCCAGACAAAATACGCGCGCTCGCAATTCACGGCCTCGAAACTAAACCATAAACTAAACTATAAACAATGTTTTACCTTGGCAGGTAAGATGGGTGGGGGGAAAGTGACTGGGTGATTCAGGCGGCTAATGCCCTTATCCGGGTCATAATGCGGCACCGAGACACCGAATTCAAGCAATGGTCACGCGCGTGCAACACACGCAACACACTGGCCCAATATCTTTCTGATACGTTGCAGCCATTCACTGGTAAGACCACCTCTTCTGTACCTAACTCAGCTCACCTGGTATCGTCAATTAAGGACATCTCACCGTCCCCAGGTGATTTGCTCGTTAGTTTCGATGAAGTTTCTTTGTTCACCAAAGTTCCTGTGCCCGAAACCATTGCAATCATTGAAGATTTCGTCCAACAAGGATTGAATGCTGATATACCGGCCCTGGTGAGACACTGCCTCACCAATACATACTTCACCTGGAATGGAACATTCTACAAACAAACTGAAGGCACCCCAATGGGTTCTCCCTTATCTCCGGTTGTAGCCAATATTTTCATGGAAAAATTTGAGACGGACGCATCCAGGCATCCACTCTTCCCCTGTCCTCTGTGGAAGAGGTACGTGGATGACACGTTCGTCATCTGGCCACATGGCCGACCGGCTCTGAACTAATTCCTCAACCACATCAATTCCATACACCCAGCCATCAAATTCACCATGGAGGTATGAAAGGATGGCATGCTACCTTTCTTGGATGTCCTAATAAAAAATGAGCCATTCTGTCTACAGGAAAGTAACCCATACTGACGCCTACCTAAAACCTGATTCCCACTACCTTCCATCCCAGAAGAATTCCCTCATCAAAACGCTACACCATAGAGCTCAATGCATCTCCGACCATGAACACCTAACCAGTGAACTCAAACACGTACACCAAACTCTCAAGGCGAATGGATACTCTGACTACACAATCCGCAAAGCCATCACCCCAACCGTGAGGAAGGAGCCATCTGAGGATCCAATCAAAACCATCACCCTGCCATACATAGCAGGGGTAACCAAAAAGATTTCCAAACTCATGAACAAACACAAGATCCAGGTCCAATTTAACACTACGTAAAATTTGTAATCTGATCCCATCTGTGAAGGACAAGATTCCTGACATGCAATATCCCGGCGTCTACAAACTAAGCTGTATCTACAGGGGGCGCGCGCGCGCATAGCGATCAAGGTGAATACACCAGCGGCGTTAACCAGGAGGCTAGGACCACACACATTGGCAATGCCCTCACACGGCACGAAACAGACGAGGGAGAAGGTCAAAGTGAGCAGGTACCTTTTTCTTGCTGCAGTAAATCTGCCACTTCTTTTCAGCCGGAAGGGCGAACATCGCCTCCCTGTGCTTCTCCGTCAGGTCCAGCTCATCCTGGGAAGAGAGACGAAGGCAACAAACAATGGCTCGTCACTCACGACGCACAAAGTGCTTGCCGCATACGAGAGCCACAATACCTTGGTGATCTCGTCAAGGAGCACAAAGCATCACGCAAACTCTGGTCATCCTCGCAGCAGCAGCAGCGGCTTTTGACAAACTATCGAACGAAAGACGGTCACCGCATCGCGCGCTTTTAGATACGTTTCTGCGGCCGTCTGGAATGCTCTTTTTCTTCCGATATTAGGAAGCTACTGGAGCTGTACACTTTTAAATCTAAATTGAAAGCTTAATTTCTTTCAAATTTGTTGTTGTGTTTAGTTTGTTGTCCTTCACCCGCACCTCCGATTAGCGTGGTTGGCTACGTATGGTGCGAAAGAAGTTCAACATAGAAATACATATCGAGCATGGCACACACGACGAGGATGATGCAAGAATCACCGGTGTCGACTATCGGTGTAGAGGTCACTTGCCACTGACGTTAGCCATGGCCGAGAATTGGACTCAGCTCGCCAAACTCATATCGGCATCGCAATAGCGACTCTGCAACCGAAGCAATTCAAACAATTCATACTGGCAGGAACCTCCTGGTTACACCAGCCCATAGGGGATTATTGTGTCCGTCCGTCCGTCGTGCATCCAAAAATTGGACGGGTGGGGCTAAGTGGAGAGGGGAGGTTGGGGAGGGGCTGGGTGGGGAGGTTGGGGAGGGGCTGGGTGGGGAGGGTGGGGAGGGGCTGGGTGGGGAGGGGAGGGTGGGGATGGGCTGGGTTGGGAGGGTGGGGCTGGTCACCCCGTGGTGCCCTTATAAAACTCAACGTTTAACCTACTCATGCCGGCTTGTGCCCGCCCTCACAATCGGGCATATATGTGGAATACACCATGCCACCGTTGACCCTCGCCATTGACCGAGCAACCCGACGTTCCTACCAGCTCCCTCCGCAGGAATGTGTTAATTTCACTGTCATATTGAATAAAAAACATACAAAAATAAAACATGAATTAAAACAACATAAAAGTCATATTTACATGAAAAGCTGCGAATGGCATCATTGACATGTGGCCTGTGTTTCAGGTTTCAGAGTACTCACGTCAACAGCAGGAAAGACACACAAGCCAATGAGATTTGAATGGTGTCACGTGAACAATAGGGGGCAAGTACCAAATTTAAGAAAATCTGCGAAGCATAATGATTGAGGCGGCCAAGTGGCGATGCAGTCTGAACAGCTGGGCCAGTAACGCCGAGGCCGTGGGTTCGAATCCAGGCAGCCACCTCTGACTAATCCGGGTCCCTCAATTGTGTAAGTGAGTTGATCCTCAATAACCACACACACACAAGCAAAATAAACCCATCACATTAAATTTATCTTCTTGGTTCTTTCGGTAAAGTCACGTAGAAGGGAAGTAATAAAATAATAAAAATAAAACATAATAAAACAATTCTCACGACGTTTCGGCCACAACGCAAGCAAGAAGATGAATCCCTGCAGTCACGAAAGCTTTAAATCGAACATTAAATTTACTTTTGCATTTCATCTGGCTATATTCCAGCTCTGAGAATTAAAACAAATATCGGTTTGACTGCCATGTGACGAAGGTGGCAGGGTGGATGAGAGATTGCTCCCCACTTCATGCGAAAATATATTAAAACTATTTTTTATTTCACCAGGTAAGCCCCACTGACCTATATAGCTCTTTGTCAGAAGCGACCTGGCCACAAATGATAGCTAAGTGGCTTATCATGTGGAAATTTAGAGCAGACAAATACGCACGTTGATTTTAAATTTGGAGGGGAAAAAAACTGGAGGACGAGGAGCAAAATCCACGTGACCACGGGGAGAGAGAGAGACACGCAAACTCCAAATATACAGGTGTCAGAGTCGAACCCACGACCTCATGTATAACAGACGAGTAAGTTAACATCTCGCCACCGTGACGAGATCTTGAAAAATCAGAGGTTACTTGAATGTATTATGTGATCCGCTTCGGTCGGCCTTTCTCTCGCAAAAAGGGTGGCACTCCTCTGCGAGAGATCCGACTGGATCCTCCGTCTCGCGACATCGCACCAAGAGCACAGCCACGAAAAAAAATAAAGTCGAGTGCAATCGATAAATTACACAAGAGTCTGTCTCTTCGCATAAGAGCAGCACAGCACGCAAGTCCAAATTAAAGGGGACGTTTGGTAAGAGGGCTGCACCGAAGCATTACGAGGACAAACGACTCCAAGTCACGAGCTCCTGGCCAAAGGATGTCAAAGCCCGCCAACGAAACGCACGCGACAAACAAAAGGGGTTCAGAATGGACAACGCTTGCCACCGGCGACACCAGGGCTCAACGGAGCAGAAATAACCGCAACTGTCGCGTCTGCCACGAGGCACCCGGTGACGAGACTTCGCGAGCGGTCCTTGTCACACAGAGTCGCAAGCTGTCACTCGAAGTCAACGTCCTCAGAGACCGCGTACGCGTGGCACTGCGCGTGCACGAGCGGGTGTGTTGTGGTGGCGGCACGTGGCGAGCGCTAGTTGTAGCGGTTAGCGCACTGCGCCACGAACCCGGCGAGCCGAGTTCGATTCCCGCTCGTGAAAAACATCCGTGACGTGTATATATAAACCGGTCCTGGGCCTTGTCTAGGTCGGCTAAGCTTTAAGTGCGTAACTGGTGCAGTGTGCAAACATGACCACCGAGGAGACAGAGGCGGCAAGGCGTGGTGCTGGCCACACTACTTCCTCGTGCGCCACGTAGCCTGCATAGCTGTTCACGAACTTCACTTGCCCCACAGACTGTGTAGGCTAGACGTGGATCCTTGTCTTTGTGTTGTGGCACGGATGTGAGCTGGCAGTGGGAATGGCAGGTGGTGCATCGGCCAGTCGTCTCAGTCTATTAACTCATAACACCTGGGTGTGTGCCATGACCTCCTGCCAGCGAGCCAGAGAGACCCTTCACGCAGCCTCAAAAAATCGAAGACAGTTGCCAATGCGAAGCTCCAGAAAGTCTCGTTCCATTCTAGTTTTCCTGGCGCAGCTTGTGTTCCCACTTAACACATTCCTGCCGAGGGAGCTGGTAGGAACGTTGAGTTGCTCAGTCAATGGCCAGGGTCAACGGCGGCGTGGTGTATTCCGCAAATATGCCCGACTGTGAGGGCGGGCACAAGCCGGCGTGAGTAGGTTAAACGTTGAGTTTTATAAGGGCACCACGGGGTGACCAGCCCCTCCCCACCCAGCCCCACCCCTCCCACCCCCCATCCAGCCCCACACTCCCCAACCAGCCCCTCCCCACCCTCCCCTCCCCACCCAGCCCCTCCTAGCACGATGGACACAATAATCCCCTGTGGGCTGGTGTAACCAGGAGGTTCCTACCAGTATTACAACCATTGCCTACTTGTGCATCACAGTCTCACAGGAGAGATGGTGCCGCGGGGGTAAAGGTTAGCACACTCGTCCAAAACGTCACCAGTTCGAATCCATCTCCCTGCCGCGGCGAATCAAACAACGGCGCTAGTTTCTTAAATCTCCCTGCCTCCGTCCACCAAGTTGTGCAAATGGGTGCATCATAGTTCATTGACCGGCGTTCGTGTGTGGTGTTTGGTATAGGGTGGCTACTCCTACATTTTCCAACACATCTGGCCAGCATGGAATAAGCAGGTCATAAAATACCCCCAAGAGAGGCTCGGCTAAAAACTCACTCACGTGGAGGCTCTTCTACTAGCAGTGGTGAGTACGCGATTGCCGGGCTGCACATCAACACTTTGAATGAGCAGAGGGGAAACATCAACGCACGACCATCGCATGAAGCAGCTGGAGCCGTTTAGTTGAGCAGGATGGTGCGGCATTACTGTCGAGATGTTAAAAGAAGGGCCAAAACAGATGGTGGAAAATTATATAAGATGCATATGCTTATTAAAGCTGCCCAGAGTAGGGAACTGTTGCCATTATCAAAGCATTATGTAAGGAGGGGTGTGGGGTGCCCGCGTGCGGGATCAGGTTGGGGGTGGAGCGGGAGGGTTTCAGTGCAACTGTGGAGCTTTCCCAGGAAGAGGATCTGCAGAGTTTTTTTTTTCTTCAAAGTTTTTGCCGAGCGGCGGGACGCGAAGACGGGGGAGACGCGTGCTGCGGTGATAGGCGCGGCGCAGCGGCGACGACGACGACAACGGCACCCCGTAATGACAGCGTTGACATCGCTGGCGGAGATGACAATGAGGAGGGCAAATCATTTTACACGGTCTACGGCAAACAGCGCGCGCTCCATTAAACTCCGCGACGGTGGATCACAATGGCTACGACGCTGACATTGTCCGCAAGAATGTCGCGTGTCACTGACCCGGATCGTGGGAAGCGATGAGTAACGACCATGCTGACACGTAACAAGCGAGCGAACAATCAAGCCGCCGGGTAACAGTTGACAGAGTGACGTTGACATGCGGTTTGACATTGATGTGACCCACTAGCGCCGATACATCTCACAGCAGCGGCTTTCAGCCGGCCATCGAGAAAAGACGGTCACTGCGTAGCGCGCTTTCAAGCGCGCTTCCGCGACCGTCTGGAATGCTCTTCCGTCACTGTAGCTATGCACTTTTAAATCTAGATTGAACACTAATTTCTTCAAAACTGCCTTTCGTGTTTAGTTTGTTGTCCTTCCCCCGCACCTCTTGATTGGCACGGTTGGCTACGCACGGTGCGAAAGAAGTTCTACATGCGTACATACGTAGTCAATCCGGGATCGGATTGGGAGCTAGTGGGGGGGGGGGGGATCTAAGGATCAAGGTGATGGGGTCTGATTTACGGGCGCAAGTAACAAGTGTGGCACCCTCAAAAGAGAGGGGTCTTCAGTGGAGATTGCTCCACCCCCTACCCCCCCCACATATAACGTGACACTTCAACCGGTGTCTCGGACCAACAACGGAAATGAGAAGTGGCCATCGCTCATTTGCGTGCGGGAGAGGCACGTTGACCTCTTGAAATGGTGAAATTGTTATCAAAGGAAAGCAAAAACTAAGACCCCCCTCCCCCTTCCCAAACCATCCTCAGATGTGGACTCTTACGGGTATAATCCCTCTCTCGATACCAACTGGGTGAGGCCGAGTTTGTTCTAGCGGCTCAAGTCCTCAGGTTACCCTCCCCACGCCGGCCCACCCTTTCCCCTCCCTCTCTCCCCCTGATTGTCCCCAGGCTGTAACTGTCCTCCGATTCTCTGCGCGAGCCGAAGCCCGAGCCGGAATACCATTGTCGTAAATTTTGTCAATTCATACAACGGCTCGACTCACTTGTTTAATGCACGTTTAAATGAAAAGTGAAAAACAAACTGACTTTGTACATTTCGATTTAAAGCTTTCGTGACTGCAGGGATTCATCTTCTTGGTTCTTTTGGTAAAGTCACGTAGAAGGGAAATAAGGTCTGTCGGGGAGACAGCATCTGACGCTGTCTCCCCGACAGACCTGGTCTTCACCTGAGGACGGCTGCTTGCGTTGTGGCCGAAACGTCGTGAGAATTATTTTATTATGTTTTATTTTTATTATTTTATTACTTCCCTTCTACGTGACTTTACCGAAAGAACCAAGAAGATGACTTTGTACACTTCAAACTAATCTCCCTTAAGCTCTTCACACCATCCAGCGCTGAGGCTGTGCGGTCCTGCCCGAGTTGTACCGTCGTTTGATCCCTTATGTTAGCACTGCTAGCGAGCAAGATGGGACAACAACGGGCTGCAGATATATCATGGCAGCGAGCAACGGGGTTTGAAGGAACCAAGGGGAGCCTTGCGCGTCGAGTTAAACGTCGCTCCCGATTTGCAAAGTATCTCAACAAAAAATCAAACGGTATGGGGATTGTTTAACACGTAGGCTTTCGCGACCAATATTATTCACAATCAAGGTTTTTGTGAGTTAGATCCCATACGTATAAATGTGTGGTTAACCAACCACCACCTAACACAGCCAAATTAGTAAGGTTTGTCACTTCTGGCAAAATTCCAATTCTGGAAAATCACCTGATGAAGCTGGTAGTAATCACCAGCGAAACGTCATAATCAAATTGTAAATGTTGTGGGTTTACTCTCCAACACACCGCACTTTGCTGAAGTAGTAACTAATTGGCACGTGTCGTTTACGTGACAAACCTTACTAATTGGCCGTGTCAGGTGGTAGCGGGTTTAATGACACATTTATACTTACGCGACATAACCCAAAAAAACGTTATTAAGAATGGTTTGGTGGGAAAAAAGGAAACAAAAAAAACACCCTCTCCTCCGCGCCGCCTCTCACCACGAGCTCGGAAAACTTGGCGTTGAGCTCGTCGGCGGCGGGCAGGGGCGGCACCTCCTCGGCGGGCTGCAGCGGGAAGGCGCTGTCCTGCACGAAGCCGTACGTGATCTCGGGCGGCTCGTCGCCACGGCAGCCGCACGCGCCGCCGCGGAAGCAGCAGCAGAGCGCCCAGCAGCAGAGCGGGCGCCGGCCAGCGCCGGCCGCCGCCCTCTTGCGTGGGGCCATCGGTGGCACCGTCCGTCCGTCCGTCAGTCCGTCAGTCGGAGAGGCAGCGACGATGCCCCCTTTGGCCACTGCTCCTGCGGGCTCGGGCTCGTCTAAAGAGCAAACGGAACGAGGGAGATATACGCGCGCAGGTGTGAGCAAACCAGCACACTGTGGCCGAGAGGTCGAGTGCTGTTCTGTAATTGAGACGGGTTCTGCGTTTCTTTACATCTCGTAAGGAGCATTTTTAAAATATACGATCCCCAGCATCGGTTACGGGATAAAGCGGATATGCAAGCATGCTACCAGCTGTTGTCGCTTTCAGATCTGCCCCTACGAGACATCTGTGAAAAAGAGCTTCATAGCTAATTGGATTGCTCGAGTATAAATTAAGATTCTGATATGAAGAAGCCATGAAAAGAGATCCCTTCCGATCGTGAGATGACCGATGGCAGCATTTAGAACAAAAATAATCACCGTTCAAAACATACGGCGATTCTCACTTGTACAATTCACATTGTTTACGCTTTTAAGTTGACGCAACAATTGCCACGGCAAACCCTGTGATGATACCAACTGTTAACGGATGATTCTAGATTTGAAGCTTTCGTGACTGCAAGGATTCATATTCTTAGGTTTTTTCGGTAAAGTCACGTAGGTAAAAACATTAAAATTAATAAAAGTAAAATAAAATAAAAATCACGACGTTTCGTGATGATGATTACAAACTGAGTAATTATTGGAAAGATGTGATTAACCATGCAAAAAAGATTTAACTACACTTATTTGACCAATCTTATTTATTATTTGACAGACAACTATTACAGGTTTATTATGTTTACCATGTTCACCATGTTTAGTTGTCACAAACCATAACAAAGGCTCACCCTTCATCATGGGATCTCCTTTGCCAGTACCAAAATATACTAATAGGGTTTTTCCCCTTTTTTCTGGCAACAAAACTGACACCTTTTGCAAGGAATCATGCTTACATTAACCGCAATACCTGCAGTCAAATGCAAACAAAAAACAATACTCTGATAATTTATGCATTGTCTTTGAAACTGATTGGTCCGCACCAGAGACAGCTTTCTTTGGAGCCTAGTCTCATATGGTGTTCGACCAGATGACGCCAAAAGGCGCACAGTTCAAAGACAACGCAATACCAGAGTAATGAGAGCTCGGGGTGAGCAGCTACATCATGGGATCTCCTTTGCCAGTACCAAAAGGCGCACAGTTCAAAGACAACGCAATACCAGAGTAATGAGAGCTCGGGGTGAGCAGCTACATCATGGGATCTCCTTTGCCAGTACGAGCTCTCATTACTCTGGTATTGCGTTGTCTTTGAACTGTGCGCCTTTTGGCGTCATCTGGTCGAACACCATATGAGACTAGGCTCCAAAGAAAGCTGTCTCTGGTGCGGACCAATCAGTTTCAAAGACAATGCATAAATTATCAGAGTATTGTTTTTTGTTTGCATTTGACTGCAGGTATTGCAGTTAATGTAAGCATGATTCCTTGCAAAAGGTGTCAGTTTTGTTGCCAGAAAAAAGGGGAAAAACCCTATTAGTAAAGGCTCACCCTCTTAAGCCTCACCTTACCATATGAATAATAAGTATAACCCGTAAAAACAAAGTTTTTCACTATAAATCCTTTATATGCGTGGCAGCGAACTTAATATAAAGGATTTAAAAAATATATATGCCTGTGGAGGACGCGGGGATCGATCCCGCGACCTTTAGCATGGGAAGCGAGGGCGCTACCAACTGCGCTACTCCGCCACGGCCTGTGGAGGGGTTACGCTATGGGCTCTTATACTGTGACGTTCAGCCAAAGTGATGAATGAGTTCTATTTGAATATATGTAAAATATTATTTTTTTGCCTAAAAGGTACAAAAATTTTGGGAATGTTTTTTTCACGAACATTAATTGTCTGGCACAACGAGTCTGTGTGGAAAATGTCAGCTCGATTGGATCACGGGAAGTGGGTTAAAAAACGACCGAAAGATTTGCACGGTCGTAAGCAAGCAAGCACGCAAGCAAGTGAACTTAATATAAAGGATTTAAAAAGTGTGCTGAACTTGGCCCTTCCCCCCTCTCCAACCATTATATAAACGGAGTGGTAGCTCCTGCAATCTCTCATTTACTTGATACAGCTGTCGTGGCTGTGACGGTTCCACCTGAAGACGGAAGCTTGTGTTGCCTCCGAAACGTCGTGATTTTAAATCCTTTATATTAAGTTTGCGTGCTTGCTTGCTTGCTTAGGACCGTGAAAATCTTTCGGTCGTTTTTTAACCCACTTCCCGTGATCCAATCGAGCTGACATTTTCCACACAGACTCGTTGTGCCAGACAATTATTGTTCGTGAAAAAAAATTCCCAAAATTTTACACTTTTTAGGCAAAAAAAAATTATTTTACATATATTCAAATAGAACGCATTCATAGCTTTGGCTGAACATCACAGTGCAAGAGCCTAGAGCGTAACCCCTCCACAGGCCGTGGTGGAGTAGCGCAGTTAGTAGCGCCCTCGCTTCCCATGCCAAAGGTCGCGGGATCGATCCCCGCGTCCTCCACAGGCGAATATATTTTTAAATCCTTTATATTAAGTTCGCTTGCTTGCTTAGGACCATGCAAATCTTTCGCTAGTTTTTTAACCCACTTCCCGTGATCCAATCGAGCTGACATTTTCCACACAGACTCGTTGTGTGTGACAATTAATTTTCGTGAAATTTTTTTTCCAAAATTTTACACTGTTTAGGGAAAACTAATTAAATATTTAATTACCAATTGCTTAATACTGGCAGACAATCATCTGACCCATAGATTGCAGCCATCTCAAGCCAGAGGACGAGAGAACTCTAGCCGCCACGCATATAAAGGATTTAGAGTGAAAAACTTTGTTTTTACGGGTTTACTTGTTATTTTATTTTACTTTTATTAATTTTTATGTTTTTACCTACGTGACTTTACCGAAAAAACCTAAGAATATAACGGGATGATCACAACAATTCAACTGAGAACCATTCTAGACATCACGCCATCGTTGGCGAGACATGGCCCTCGGGCCCGGCGCATTGCTAGGACGACGCAGATCGGGTGAGCAATTAGCGTGGTTGACTACGTACGGTGCGAAAAGAACCGGTCGCTCATTTCGACGCTGTGTTAACCGAGGTTCGTGGTTCGAGCCCGCCGACTGTCCTGATTAATACTGTGAGTCCATTGACTGTGACGTGTCGTCTATAATGACAAATCGCCATTCGCTAAGTGGCGGTTGACCACGGCGCTTGTGGGCGGAGGGTGGGGCACCTCATCCACCGCACGCCACGCCCCGCTCAGCTGCGTGACGGGTGACGAGGATGACGCACACAATGAGGACGACTACAACGACGACGACCACCACAACCGAAGCCCGGGTTTTACCTGAAGCCGGCGGAAGATGGCAGCGCCCGTTTGGCTACAGCGTCGCTCGATCGCAGGCGACGGGAGCCCTTCCTCTTTTCAAGACAGCGCCCGCATTGCCGATGTGGTCACCGCCGCACTCTTCAAACGCGAGTGGGCCAAACAAATGTTGCAGTTAGGGTGGGGCGAGAGTAAGGGGTGGTGGGGGGTTGCACAGACAACAACACGAACAGTATTAACATTTGATATTTAATTACACACACAAGGGCCACACTCAGAATTGACAACAGATGGGAGGCATCGCATCACGTACAAGTTATTCTTGTACGCAGAGTTTGATGCGTCCCACATGGGGCCATCTGCACTGTACACGAAACAAAACAACAAAAGAATCACCCGCGTAGCCATCGTACGCACTTGGTGAGGCGAGTGCCGTTAGCGAGCACCCGTCAACCGAACTGGACGACTGGCAGAATTGCGCCACCTGGTAAATTCCCACTGTGTCAACTTGCCGTGTTTTGGCCACCGTGATGTTCTGCTCGTTCTCGTGCGCAACCTTTCTTTGCCTTCAATTGGTTCTGAAAGGCGACTGCCACCAGCCACTCAATAACATCATTGACATCAGCGGTGCCTCCGATTATCCCGCACCTCCGATTAGCACGGTTGGGTACGTACGGTGCTAAAAAAGTTCAACATACATACGTACGTTCCCCCTTCAGAGGCCGCTCTTGAAATTAAAGGTATAAATTGTCAGCTAATCTGCTCACTACTTGGTCTTCTTATACCACGTAAGATAATTTCACCGAAAGCCTGTGCAATGTTCAATCATCTTGATTTGAGGCTTTCGTGACTGCAGGAATCCATACTCTTTGATTCTTTTCGGTAAAGTCGGGTAAGTATAAAATTAAATAAATCACGACGTTTCGGGCGCAACACAAGCATCCGTCATCAGGTGGGAAAGCTTCGTCATTAGGTGGGAAAGATCCAAAGAGTATAATGTTCAATCATCTATGTCTATCCAGCCAAACAAGAGGAGCTAACCGGACATTGTCTGACCCAGCCAAAGATATCTTCACCTGCCGGAGGAGCTCACTGATGGGGACTTTGTCCGGATCACCCGTGCATATGTGAGCTCTTGAAACGATCCCAATTCAGAAAAACCAACGATGGACCATAGGGAGGCCAACTTGCAATGCTTAAAAGCCAGCGAGGGCGTCCACACTTCACAAACACCAAGAAGATATGGCACGACTGTGGCAGAGAAGACGCAGAATTTGGTGTGCAGCGACACAATAAATATTGGCTATATGAATGGTTACCCGTTTTATCGTTGCATATGGCAATATGTTTCGGAGGTAAATGCAAATAAAATTTAACTATTATACTTTATTAATTTTAATTATATTTTTTACCTACGTGACTTTACCGAAAAAACCTAAGAGTATGTAAATGCAAATGTCGAGGCCTGCTGGCCACAAGAGGGCTTCAGGAGAGGGTTGGTGTAGTTTTGCCATTCCTCCTCCATTGAATTTAGCGCAGACTACAGTGGTGTGCTATGTGGCCGATAGTTTTTGGGTTGCATGGCCACGACCGCACCACTTGTGTCTTCACTATTTATGAAGGAGATGTGTGCAAAGCGGCCTGCTGATGTTCTGATGCGGTTGACGGCTACATCATTGGCGAGTGCGTGAGCGGACGAGTGGATGAGTGAGTTGATGGTTCTACCACCGGTGTCTTCAAGGAACGTCATAGCCAGGAGGCGTTATGATAGGGTCTGAAATGAGGCGTTTATTCCGAAACGTCCGCATTGTTACACATTTTGAGTTGGTGGCCGCTAGCTCTGACACAAGCCAGCGAATCCAATCATGTGACCTCCTCCACGCGGCTGCCTGCCGCGTCCCTTCGTGTCAATGAATTCTCGTCTTCTCGTGGCGACGGAGTGACAAAGAATCACGCTCTCGTTTTAATGTATTCACAAGTTGATTGCATTAGCATTTCAGTGTTTAATTCTCCGTTGTTTATTTTAGTTGCCTGCTGGCGCGTGGTCATTCATCACGGTCACAATTAACAAGGCATTGTTAAAACAACGTTATTATGGTGGGCGAATGTTTCAAGCAATGCCCTCCACCCCTTCTTGTTATGTTGCTCTTGCTATGAAGAAGGGTCATTGAACTGCTTTCGGACAGCTGTTTTGGGATTACGGGATCACTGATAAAATGGTTAAATTGTTCTCACTTGCATGCACACACCCGCTCCCAAGGGAGCACTGTGCTGGGCCGATTAGGCAAGCAGCGAAAAACTATCAAGTCAGCAAAACTGTCAGTCTCTCGCTTGCCGAATGTGCAGTGATGCTCACCACAGTGGTGAGATGTTAGCTACCTCGCCTGGTATATAGGAGGTCGTGGGTTTGATCCCGACCCTGACGCCTGCTGTGTATTTGAAATTTGCCCTTCCCGTGATTGCGTGGATTTTTCTTCCGGGTCCTCCGGTTTTTCCTCCCCATTAAGAAAATATTTGGCTGCTGCTATAAAATGTCCCCGCGATAAGCCACTTCGTTGAGCTATCATTTGTGGCCAGGTCGCCGCTGAAAAAGAGCTTCATAGCTCAGCGAGCCTTACCTGGTAAAATAAAAATAGTTTAGTGGAGTTTAGTTGAGAAATGCCAATGCCCAAAATGTTAGCCCAGCAGTTCTAAACCCACGGGTCCCTCCCTCCCGCACCACCACGACCCCACAAATCCCCGCAGCATGGATACTGGGCAGGAAAAATTTAGCAATTGCCCGGCGAACATTTTCGATGACAAAGCACACGCCTGCACAACGTGAAACGAATGCCTTACTAACACACCACTGTCTAGAGGCGTGGACATGCGATCTCTCTGTGCACTGTGGCTTAAGGAACCATAAGGAGAGGAGGGGTCGGGAGCGGGGAGAAGGCAGGGGCCGCAGGCACCAGTGGTCTTGATTGGGGGGGGGCCCAAAATGTAAAGACTGAGAACTACTGCATTCAGCCCACTATATAATCTTCCGTTGCATGGCAGCGCGAATGAAGGCGGTGTGTGTGGCTTTTATTTATCTGTCCTTCAATTCCAAAGCTCCGCGTAGAGAGATGTGGAATCCCACGTCTCGTTGTTATCGCATAAAAACCTCACGCGCATTCCCTGACGAGCGCTAAATGTGGCTGACGCCTCTGAAACGCTTCGCACGGCGGAGGGGGGCGGGGCAGCGGTTGGCGGTCGCAATGGGCTCTGGGCAGAGGTCGCAACCGGGCACCCGATACCCGTACCCTACCCGATACCCGGCTACCCGTACCCGGCCGGGTACGGGTAGCCGGGTACCCATTTGCGACCCTGGTGTGGCCGGGTACGGGTACGGGTAAACCGTGAGTCACTGGTGAATAACCGTTTGTCACTCATTTCCCAACGTCTTGTCTCTTCTCACAATTCAAGTTCCTAGAATCAACCCACCCGCGCCTGCAACATGGCTTCATCCCAGAGGTCGCAATCAGGTACCCGATACCCGTACCCTACCCGTACCTGGCCGGGTACGGGTAGGGTACGGGTACGGCCGGGTACGGGTACAGGTACCCGTTAGCGACCCTGGTACGGGTAAGGAATCAGAACCCGTTTGCGACCTCTGGCCCTGGGAGGGCAGGGAGGTGTGGAACGGTTGGAAAAGTTCCTGCAGAGGGAGGATGCACTGGATCGTTGACAGATGTATTTGCGAATCTCTTCTGTAGATCACAGAAGAGATTGCACAATTGGGTTTACTCCTACCACCGCGTTTGCAAGTTGTTGGGTCTCTGGTACAGCTGGCAAGTCGCGCAGCGGGCCCAAATTTTCCAGCCTCTGCCTGAATTCTACGTGATAATTTGGGCGAAGCGGAAAAGGTAGCCCTCTGCCCAACTCACGTGATAGCTCGCATGCCATGCAGGAGGTCATGGGGTTCGATCCCGACCCCCAACGCCATTGCATCTGGAGTTTTCATGTTCTTCCCCGTGGTGGTGTGTGGATTTTCTTCTCCGGGTCCTCCAGTTTTTCCCTCCACATTAACAAAGATGTGTTGAGATTTTTTAGATTATTTGTCCTGCTCTAAATTTCCACGTAACAAGCCACTTCGTTGAGCCTATCGTTTGTGGCCAGGTTTCTACTGAAAAAAGAAGCTAATAGCCGAGTGGAGCTTCAGCTGGGAAAAGAAAACATAGTTTAGTGGTATTTTTCGTGTGATTTGTTGACCTTTCCTATACTTTGCACTCCTATCACGTTTTTGTGTTGTTTGTTGTTGTAACGTCCTAACCTGCCCCTACTGGACAGCTGTGAAAAAGCACTTCACAGCTCATCGGATTCCTCCAGTATGAATAAATATTCTGATTTTAAACTCGGATAATCGTGGAAGCCCCACAGGCGTTGGTGATCCTATCGTCGTCAGCGTTCAGCGGAACCAGGGGTTGAATCGTCACCAAGGACAGACATCTTGCTCGTCTGCAGGAGCTCACCACTGATGAGTATTCAGTTGCCGTGACAACAGCGGAGGCAGGCGCACAGGGAAGGCAGGCGAGACAAAGAGAACGAGCGAACATTTCTATGCTGTCGACATCACAAAAAACCGTGGTTGACATTGAAACTTGAAATGACTTTGCGTGGCGGCGGTGGGGTCGGGGATAAACGGAGACCTGTGATATGACAAAAAGGGCTGAGCCTCGTGAAACACCACAGATAAAGGGTTTACGCAGTGCCCAGCACTAATGTAAACTGATGCCCCGGGTGAAACAATGAATTTATCGTCCCCGTAAAGTAATAGACTGGTAATAACCATGTCGTTGGTCGTTAATTTTATCCGTCACGTGCATGTCTATTTATTACCCATGATATTAACGCTATAACGAAGCGTCCGTGTGCGAGTGGATAAGCAGTGTGCAGTTCTCTGTGCTCATATCCTTCACGCAAGCCCACAGATTAAGTCCCTTAATGCACCTACGCCGCACGCACCTACCAACGTGCACCTACCACAGCGTGCACCTACCCCAGCGTGCACCTACCCAGCGTGCAACTACCCCAGCGTGCATCTACCACAGCGTGCACCTACCCCAGCGTGCACCTACCCGTACATCTACTCTAGGCCTAGATACACGGCGCATTTGTCC